AGCAAGGTTGACCGAGGGGAAAGAAAAAAGCACTAAGATATGATTTAGCTGCCATAATGTATTAAATGTGGTTTATACAGTGTGTGTTTCATCATACAAACATCAAATACACACATTTGACCAGTCTGGTTAACCTCTTAAGGCTCAAGCTGATTTTTATATGCATTTTTTATTTCTCTTTGCTATTTGGGCTTATTGGAATTAAACCTAAGTATCATCTTTTCATATGATGTACTTTTAGAAAAGAATATGTCCATATATGCAGACTCATGGTCTGAATTTACATAAAACACAATAAAGTCACCTTTGTGTATAGAATGAAAAACTCTTTAATTCTGCCTTGAACACAGCGTTTTTTTCCTGACTGTTTTAATGCATTATTAACACATATTTTTAAAAATGTTTTTGACTATGAGTAGGCTTCAGAATTTTTACATTGTTCACATGTTGTTGAATGATTTTTAAAGATTATTTAAATATACAACAATAAGATTCTGTATTTTAGTCGGCTATTTTGTTGTGTAACTCAAAAGAAAGTGGTAAGGTGGCTCAGTGGTTAGCACTGTCACCTCACAGCAAGAAGGTTGCTGGTTCGAGTCCCGGCTTGGCCAGTTGGCATTTCTATGTGGAGTTTGCATGTTCTCCCCATGTTTGCGTGGGTTTCCTCCAGGTGCTCTGGTTTCCCCCACAGTCCAAAGATCTGAGGTGAATTGGATAAACAAAAATTGGCCGTAGTGTATAAGTGTGTGTGAATGATTGCATGGCTGTTTTCCAATACTGCGTTGTGGCTGGAAGGGTATCCGCTGCGTAAAACATATGCCAGAATAGTTAGCGGTTCATTCCGCTGTGGTGACCCCTAATAAATAGGGGATTAAGTCGAAGGAAAATGAATGAATGAATGAACTCTAAAAATACTACTAACTTTTTGTTGAGGGAACCATGCTTATAACAACTTCTGGATGGGCAAACAAAATTGTCACTATTATAAACCCAATAAAACCCAAAATAACAAACCTAAATAATATAATGAAGACCCGTTTTTTTTGTGGTTTTTGTATATTATCCCACTTAGAGTATGCATGACGCATTACCGAATTAATACATATTTAAAATCACAAGCTGAGTGCAAAAATACTTGAACAAAAAGAAAATTAGAGGTGATATGAAAGGCACAGAGATGTTATTCTGTCAAAAATTGCAGGTTAGCAGTCATGAGTTGAGAATTTACGCACCTTTCTAAGTTTCTTAGTCTTAAATTCCACCTCTTGCTGTAAAGTGGAGAAGGTCTCCTTCAGCTCAATGGTCTCTTCATCTTGTTCAAACATCAGCTGCTGCATTTCTCTTTCTTTTCTATCCTAGAAAGATTAATTACATGCATATGAGATTCTGATTCTTAAAGTACATTGTTATTTACTGTAAAGCCTACTACTTTTGATAGTTACCTGCTCTGCAATCTCCAGCCTCGTCAGTTCCAGCATTTTCTGCTGTTCATTGGTGTGGTCAATGATGTTTTTCCCTCCAACCAGAAGCTTACTTTCCATAGCCTAAAAAAAAAAAAAGAAAAACATGGCATGCAGTAAAGGATGTGATTAATAAATGATATAGTGTATAATCTCTACAAAGAAAAAAGTTGGGTGGAAAGAACCAACCTTGTATTTTTCGATCATATTTTCCATAGCTTGTTGCTCCTTCAGCAACTCTTCCACAGTCTTTACTTTCTCGTTTACCATGCCAAGTTTCCTGCTAATATCTGGCTTGTAATTGGCAGAGGTCTTTGCCATCTGCTGCTTCCACCAATAGTCCTCCACGCTTTCCTCCCGAACCGTCTCAACAACCTCTACCTCTCCGATTCTCGGAGTTTCCACCTCTCCGCTACTCATACTCCTCTTCATCCTGAGGCTGTTTCTCTTCTGTCGTCTTCTTTCTTTCGCCAGCATCCCTCGTTCTTCGAGCTGCGCCTTCAGACGGGCTATTTCCTCCTGGAACTCACGGAGCAGGGCATCTTTGGGGTCCTCGTTGATCTTTGGCTTGTTCTTGATGTTCTTCGCTCTGTTTGCGTACCTCAGCGTGGTGAGAGTCTCATCATAGTAACATGAAGCTGGTCCAACAGTGGCCACCATAACGGTTTTAGCATTGCCCCCCAGTGAGTCCTGTAGCAAGCGCGTGAGTTTGGAATCCCGGTAGGGGACGTGGGTGCTCTTTCCATCCACCAAAGCCGAAATGACATTTCCAAGAGCAGAAAGAGACAAGTTGATCTTTGCAGCCTCTTTAAATCTTCGTCCCTGCACACCTGTTTTGCTTTGGCGCTCACTACCGGCAAGATCCACCATGTTTAACTTTCCAACACGAATGTGGTCCTCACCATCAATGCCCATTTCACTGCACTCAATAGTTATGACAAAAATCGCATGAGACCTGGAGCTGCGCTCATTCATTTTGGTGAATCCGACAGATCTTGATTGATTCCCCAGGTTCATGACGTGTTCGATCTCCTTTATGTTCTTGGTCACAACACACGAGAGGTCTTTAACATAGACGCCCAACTCGGGGTTTTCCTTGAGCTCTAGTTTTTTGTTGTTGTCCTTGCAGAGGAGATCTCGTATCTCTTCTTGATAAATCTCAATGTAAGACACTCTCACGAGATACTGCTGGTTCTGAGACCTGGATATTTGAGTAAATATGTGCTGAAACGAGTTTGGGATGACTCCCCTGGTCTCGGGGTCTGTGGGCACACCTTCCATTGTGTATGTTTTGCCTGTGCCAGTTTGCCCATATGCAAATATTGTTCCATTGAACCCGAGCAAAACAGAGTCAATAAGAGGTTTGCATGCATAGTCGTACAACTCGTTTTGTTTTGAGCTTACGTCATAGACGGCATCAAACGTGAATGATTTGACGAGGCTTCCGGAGGATTTGGGATTACGCACGCTCACCTGTCCCAGTCTGACATCCACTTCAACAATTCTTTCCTGATTCATCGCCTCTTCCTTCTTGTTTAGAGGGCGGCATCGCACCACCACCTTCACCGCCTCTGATTTCTTGCCAATCGACATGGAGCGCGGTCGCAATAGGCTGTTTCTCTTCATCATTTTGATGAAAAATCCGCGTCTTTAATATGCTGCTGTTTTATATAAGGACGCGAGGAGCGATGACAGAAAACACTCATTCGCATAAAGGCTATAAATGCGGCAAATGCACGTCCGTCCCATGTAAACGTGTGCGCAGAGCATCTTGGTGGTCCAAAGCCAGCATCACAAACCGCTCCATGCAGCGAGGCTCGCGCATCTCCCTCTCCGGCGGCACACGCCCTGTTCCCCGCAGACAATAGGCAGAGCGCGCTCACGGGCGGACGGATGCTGATAGGTGGACCACACTCTGTTTCTGCCTGCGCGAGGCGCTGACGCACTCGGTGTGGGCTATAATCATTCAATCATGAGATTACCGCCGATTAGGTTATTATCAGTCAGTGTAAATCATATGGTCAGTAACTAGGTTATTTGCCCAATTGGCTACTTTGGTGTTTTATCTTTGGTTTAAGAGACATCAAACCTTTAAATAAAGTGAAAAAACATGAAACTAATAGCAGAAGGGGAACTGTGAAATTAAAATTAGTCTATATGCCCATAGCATATCTCACTTTCCATATAAAATGTATTATATAAATTAAGATCTATCTATCTATCTATCTATCTATCTATCTATCTATCTATCTATCTATCTATCTATCTATCTATCTATCTATCTATCTATCTATCTATCTATCTATCTATCTATCTATCTATCTATCTATCTTTGCACTCTGAGAAAAAAAGTCTCTGTGGTACAAATAATCATCCTCAGTTGTGTACCTTATACCTTATACGGTACAGAAAATACCTCTTATGATACTGTTCTATACCTTTTATGGTATACTCAAATTAAGGTACACAATATAAATATAAAAGGTACATGAGGATTGCACAATATCAATGAAAATAAATATGATTTATTTTACAAAGTGATTTATGAATAATTTCCATTTTGAAACCTAAAAAAATCATTTACAAGCATTTGTTAAAAGAAACTCAAAAGCATTAATTATTAATGATACAAAACAACTGGTAAAACAAAACTATAATGTAAACTAAACATTTAAGGCACTTTAATGTTTGGTAAGCTTTTTGACACTGTTCAGGTACAAAGTGTCTTGACACTGTAGCGGTACCTTCATGGATTAAATTTTTACCTTTGATGAAGATACAATATTATATCTGCAGGTTTTAAAAACCAAAGCTACATTTTGTTTTCCATGGTATAAATTGTGTCCTTAAAAGTACAAACTACAAATTTGTTTCCTTGTCTTAAGATACAGTTCTGACCAATAAAGAGATACTGCCCCAGTGACAAGGAATTATTAAAGTGAGAATTAGCCCCCTTTGAATTTGTTTATTTATATTTTGATTTTTAAATATTTCTTAAAAAATGTTTAACAGAGCAAGGAAATTTTCACACTGTGTCCGATAATATTTTTTATTCTGGAGAAAGTCTTATTTATTTTGGCTAGAATAAAAGCAGTTTTTAATAATAAAAAAACAAAACATTTTAAGATCAAAATTATTAGCCCTATATATATATATATATATATATATATATATATATATATATATATATATATATATATATATATATATATATATAGCCAGTTTATAATTGTACAATCCACAGTCTTTTCAGGGTTGGTCATGATACTGATGTGACTCAGATTCACAATAATGAAGTTTATAGATAATGATAATCTTCCTTTATGACCAATCCACCTAATCTTTGCACACCTTGGAGTAATTTTCGTCCATTTGCTCTAATTGCACTGATTTGCATCGTCTGAAGTGGCAGCAGAATGTGTTTCTCCTTGACCACGTGACTCCAGCACGCATTGATATTCGGCCAATGGGGACGCAGCAGAGACTCGCAGTCACTCAGAGCGTGTGGAGAGAAGTTCACCGGTCCGGGTGCAAAGTCTCAAGTTTCGTTTGACTTGTACCGAGGATCCACGCGCATTTTACTCCATCATCACCCTGTATGGCAGACAGTTATTGCTCTCTGTAAATGAAATGTATCTTATATGCGTCGAACAACTGACATTTCGTGAGTTGCCTATAGCAACAGCGTTTACTTGCAGCATTGATCATCTAAACCATCGCGAAATGTAAATAATAACATTTTGTTTACATTTTTTTATTTTTTGCATTTTTAATTTGAAGACAAAATGGGTTTAGGGCAGAATCGGATGCGTTTGCTGTGCATGCTCACTTTAACGCTGGTGTTTTTTGTTGTGGAAGTTGTGGTCAGCAGAATAACAGCATCTCTCGCGATGTTGTCGGACTCTTTTCACATGCTGTCGGACGTAATAGCTCTAACAGTGGCTTTAATCGCGGTCAGCTTTGCGGAGACCACTCGATCCACCAGTAAGAACACGTACGGATGGATCCGCGCAGAAGTGATGGGAGCTCTGGTGAACGCCGTGTTTTTGACAGCCCTCTGCTTCACTATCTTTTTAGAGGCCGTTGAGCGCTACACGCAGCCGCATGAGATCGAGAACCCACGCGTGGTCATCTGGGTCGGTGTTGCGGGTCTTTTGGTGAATGTGCTCGGTCTGTTTCTCTTCCACGGACACGCGGGGTTCGGTGGGCACGGGCATGCGCATGGTGGGCACTCTCACGCCGGACACTCTCACGCGCACCAGACAAACCACAGAGAAAAACCAAAAGCGCACGAAGAAGCATGCACTCTCATGATAAACAGTTCACAAGGAGATCACACTTGCGAGCAGAAATCAGGTATTTATGTTGGTCAAAAATAAAATACTTTTTAAACTCCTCATGATAGTGTATTAGAGTTAAAATCATCATTACATTGTGTTTACATTTTCTTTCTGATCAAAAATAAGGGCTACAGAATCTATAGAGGACACCCACTAAAACATCATTCAATAGATACATTGTTATAATGTGAACATTGTTATAAAAGTAACATAACAATATATATACTAAGAAAAATCTTACCTGGCATATTTAGAACAAGAATATTGTAATGGTACAGCCCCAAATACTAACTGATTGAAATTATACATAATTAATTATTTATCTTCAAATCTGAAATGTTTAACCCATTTCCAAGAAATACGTTTTTAAAGTATTCATTTTAATTGATATCATATAATATACATATATTTAAGAAATGTTTAATTCAGGTAAAAATAGTATATTGTTTACCTTTATGTAAATATAAGCATAATGTTGGATGACAATCAGACAATATTTGAGCAATATTCTGACATTTATGCATGTTTGAAACATGAACGTAGATACTGCATCTAAAATAATTGTAAAATCAATTGTCTGAATTTAATTTGATGCAGATAATGTTTTTTTATTAATAATAATAAACACATGTGTTTTCATTATACTTTTTTATGTAACCAAATGTATAGTCACATGAGCTCAGTGTTATGATCAGTCTGGATATTAGGGAATGGTAAAATTGTACTTTCATTCCAATAATAATAAAAAAAAAAAAAACATGTAAGCGATTAAAATCTAAACATGGGATTTTACAGTTCTGGAAATTCTTGAAATATTAGTTTCAAAAGTGGATTTTTTCCAAGCCTGGAATTGTCATCAAAGTTAATACAGTTTTTAAAGGGGTAATAGAAATCTATTTAAATAAGTAGTTTTTTCCTGTTGAAAATCTGCATCCAGTCATCAATTGACTAGAAATTTAAGATGTGAATTGTGGGAACCTTAAAAGTAATAAAATATCTGGGAATTTTAAAAGTGTGATTTTAATGCTAAGTACAGTATTAAAATTGTCATCACAAATGACAGGAAAACATAAAAGCTCTGTAGCAATCGTCTACTGAGAATATTTCCTATTCCTAATTTTCCTATTTTTCTACTCATTATTTTTGCAATCTTGGCCCATTTTTTCAGCGGTGACGTGTGACGGTTTTCGGTTATTTTTTGCCATACGGATTTTAAAAAGTCCTTGTTTAAATATTATAAGGCATGAATCAAATTAACCTGTTATGAAGAGAAAAACAACATTACATACTTTGATTTGCAAAGAAGTATAAAATCTGACAAAGGGACCAGAGTGTGTACTTCACAGCTTTAATGACAGAAATAAATACAAAGTTATGTCATTAAACTCTGTGAATATAGACCATATCAATGTGGTGATTGAGCCATAAACACTTCCTGCTTGTTATCAAACTACTTCATGATTGTAACAAGAGGCAATTCAATCATAACTCAATGTTAAAACAGCAATCATAACATTATTTATCAATATGTAGCTTTTTTTGGATTCTGGGAAGCTATTGAAATTAAAAATGTAATATGTTGGGGCCATTGTTTTCGTTTACATCCCTCAAAATTGTCTATATTGGGAGTAACATGTCTTGCTACTTGCTCAGCCATAACAATCAAAACAGCAGCAGAAACAGCGTAGCAGATCTATGCCACAAAGACCAAACACATCAACTTTGCCATATGCATATACTAAATCACTCAGTTGTCATGACAGAACTACAATTATGTGTGTCGCTAATGACACAATCAAATAAAAATTTTAAACAAATATAAAACTAGCATGAATATATTTCAGGTTTATATGAAGTGCTTGTTGCTTTGTGGAACTGCGCGGAGCTGAAGAATATGTTTGTTGTGCTTTGCTCACTGTGAGACTTTCTGATTTGTGGAAATTACTGTACACCATCATGGGCAATGTAGTTTATCTGCATATATTCCCATATTAAACTGTATTACTATTGTTACTATTATTGTTAAGCTGAACAAACGGTTTCAAAATGTTTAATAAGGTATTTAACGTCTAAATTTCCAATATTTAGGTGAACAATTAATCTATACAAGTAAAAAAAAAGGTTATGTTAATTTTCAATCAAAGTCTGACTATTGCTTCTGCGTCTGGAATGGTGGTCCTTCTCTGTTGACTTCAGTTTGAGAAAGTCCTCACTGCAGCCTGCAGCTTGATGGCGTAGTTGACCAGGTCCGCTACGTAGTTGACGATCGCTTACACCTCCCCCTTCTCTAAACACAACCAACACAGTAGCATGGGCGTTAACTCATTGGGCAGTACAAGGTCCACTACATAGTCGACAATCATTTACACCTCCCCCTACCCTAAACACAACTATCACAGAAGCATGGGCATTACCTTAGTGGCCGGTACAAGGACGATTGCTACACCTCCCCGTACCCTAAACCCAATTGCACAATAGCATGGGCATTACCTCAGTGGGCGGTACAGGTACGGTCGATCGCTACACCTCCTCCTTCCTAAACCCAACCATCCCAGTAGCATGGGCATTACCTCAGTGGGCGGTACAGGTATGATCGTTACACCTCCCCCTACCCTAAACCCAACCATCACAGCAGCATGGGCGCTACCTTAGTGGGCGGTACAAGGTCCACTACGTAGTTGATGATCACTTACACCTCCCTCTACCCTAAACCCAACCATCACAGCAGCATGGGCGCTACCTTAGTGGGCGGTACAAGGTCTACTACGTAGTTGACGATCACTTACACCTCCCCCTACCCTAAATCCAACTGTCACAGTAGCATGGGCGTTACCTTTGCGGGCGGCACAAGGACGATCGCTACACCTTCCCCTACCCTTAACCCAACCGTCACAGTAGCATGGGCATTACCTCAATGGGCAGTACAAGGTCCACTACATAGTTGACAATCGATTACAACTCCCCCTACCCTAAACCCAACTATCACAGCAGCATGGGCATTCACTTAGTGGCCGGTACAAGGACGATCGCTACACCTCCCTTTACCCTAAACCCAACCATCACAGTAGCATGGGTGTTACCTTAGTGGGCGGTACAAAGTCCGCTACGTGGTTATCGATCGCCTACGTCATCAAGTTGTAGGCAGCAGCGAGGACATCTTGGTTTGATGGCTTCAATCACAATAATCTTAACCACGCCCCTCTTACCCGTAGTTTTCTATGAGGTAATGATGCACAAAAAAGCCCAGCTCCCTACTGAATATTTAGTATTCAATCAACACACTGAAATAAAGGTCTCGGCAAACAGATTTTCGTACTTTTAGCTTTGCTTTTTTATGCTCATAAAGTAACTGAAAACATAACAGAATTGTATTTACTTTCTTTACTATTTCGCTCACTATGTGCACTTCTTTTATAGACTCCCTGAACATCAGGATCACTGCCAAGGGTTCATTGGAGGATCTGGATCAGTCTCCCGAGTCGGCTTCACAGCTGAACATGCGCGGTGTGTTTCTGCACGTGCTCGGCGATGCGCTCGGCTCCATCGTTGTGGTCGTCAACGCCTTGATCTTCACTTTTGTGTGGACCCCATGCCACAGCGACCAAATCTGTTACAACCCCTGCCGCAACAACCACTTAACAGACCACCACCATGTTAACACCACCGTCTTGAGCATATCCAAAACCCCCGACCGGATCCCTAGAACCATATCTGTAGCCGGCCCATGTTGGGTGCTTTATCTCGACCCGACGTTATGTCTAATAATGGTGTGCATTTTGCTCTACACAACATTCCCTCTACTAAAAGAGTCGGCTTTGATTCTCCTGCAAACAGTGCCCGAGCAGATCGACATGCCCAAGCTGAAAGGCAAACTAAAGAGCCTGGATGGAGTTCTAGCAGTTCATGACCTGCATATCTGGCAGCTGGCTGGTGCACGCATTATTGCGACCGCTCACATCAAATGCACCGATCCGGCTTTGTACATGGACATCGCCAAACGCATTAAAGACGTCTTCCACGATGAAGGCATACACGCTACTACCGTTCAACCAGAGTTTTCAGCCTTTTCTGAAGGGTTTGGTGACCCCCAGTGTGAGCTTTCTTGCCGAAGCCAATGCAAACCCAAACTATGTTGTAATCCTACCAAAAGGGCTAAGCCAGAGGAGGAGTTAGCCAAATGTAGGCATGATAAACCTCACAGTCATGCTGTCGAATGGGGTGATGGGAAAAAGGTGGACGATGCTGTACATACGGAGATGGAATCATCGGTTTAGGTCAAGGAGGACATTATATTGCATGAGTTGCACACGGCTGCTTTCTCATACACAGGAAATGTGTCTAATTAGGGCCATTGTGTGGATTATTGCAAATCTGATTACTGCAGAAGTATGTTTCAGAGATTTGGGTTGATTAAACGTAACAACTTTAGACTCCGTGCTGTGATCTATATATAAACCATATATATATATATATATATATATACATACATACATACAGAATGCAGTTTTATCTTTGTATTTTTGCTATCAATGGTTGCTTGATATATAGTTCACCCAAAAAAAGACAATTCTGTCATTGTTTATTCATTGTTAACTTGTTTTCCACCTTTACGAGTTTCTTAATAACACAAAAGAAGTTATTTAGAAAAATTATGGAAGCCTGTAACAATCGACTTTCATGATATTTGTTTTTCCTACCATGGAAGTCAATGGTTACAGGTTTTGAACATTCTTCAAAATATCTTCTTTAGTGTTCAGCAGAAGAAAGATACTCATTAATGTTTAGATTCATTCATTTATTTTCTTTTCGGCCTGGTCCATTTATTAATCTGGGGTCACCACAGCCGAATGAACCGCCAGCTTTAGATTAAGTAAATAGTGAAATCTTCATTTTTGGTTGAACTATCCCTTCAAAGATCAATATAGTTATAAATGAAGACATATATTGATGAATATACATATCAGATGTTTATTTTTTATTAATAGTTTCACGATATAATCCAAGAATATGCAGGTTCATGTTGTATTGGTGTGTGTGTGTTTATAAAGAATGTTTCGAATCTGCTTATTGCAGGAGTCAGTGTGTTTTAGATAAAAGGGTGTGTAAAATGACATGCTGTGTTTTCTGTATGAACCACATATGAAAGTCAAATACAGATTTATGGATGGTTCTTATTTGAGACCAGATATGTGAAGATATGTAAGTAGATTCAAGATATAGTTCATCCAAAAATAAAAATTTTGTTATCATTTCCTCACCATTTTTTCCTTTCAAACCTTTATAAGTTTCTTGCTTCTACCAAAAACAAAAGACGATTTTTAAATACAGTTGGAAAGCTGTAACTATTTACTTATATAGTATTTGTTTGTCCTACTATGGAAGTCGATGGTTGCAGGTTTTTAACTTTCTACAAAATTTACTTTTTTGTGTTAACCAGAATAAAAGAAACTCATAAAGGTTTGAAACCACTTAAGGGTGAGGAAATAGTGAGGAAATGTTCATTTTTAGCTGAACTATTTCTTTAAAATATATAGGTCAAAGATCAGATGTCTACAGATGTGTTTTTATATACGCAGAAAGCATATTAAAAACAAGTGAATAAATTGTGCCTTAATGTTTCAAAAAAGAGGTGAAAATAAAATGTCTTATTATTCATCAAATAATGTTTTATCTTCTAGAGTAACGAATAGGCTACATTTGTGTAAAATATTAGTTTTTTTAGACTAATATTTTACTATATTTATATATATATATATATATATATATATATATATATATATATATATATATTTATATATATACATACATACATACATACATACATACATATATAGATATATATATATATAGATATTTATATAAATAAGAGTAAGGGATCATTGTTCTATTTTAAATACATCTTGCTTACAATTACACCTAGTGAAGAATAGTTTTGAAAGAAAGGTTTAAAGGATAATGGCAACGTTTAAAGTATTTTGGCTCTGCACTGTGATCCTTAAACATGTAATCAAACTAGTCTTGACCTAACGACAATTATTTTGGACAATACTTTAGTTACACTGAATGACGTTTTACTGAGTGTATTCTGGAAATAATGAGAAAAATGTATGATAGTCATTGTTACTCAGAAGAAAAAATCGAGAGCTGCATTACATTTTCATTACTTGGATGTTTGAAAACCCATTTTTTGTCAGTGACTCATATATTATCACGTTATTAGCAGGTTTTTATTTTTTTTAGAAAAGGTTTACATTTACATAAATTAAAAGACTTTTGCCAGCCATCAGATGACTACATATCGACCAGTCTGAAAAAAATGGCATGACATGACAATAAATACTCATACATAATTAAATATAATAATTAAGACTTCACACTGTCCGTTTTGCATCAGATATATTATAATTAAATAACCCACATAAATATCTAATGCTTTATTCTATTAGCACAGTTTTGCTTAAAATATTACAAAGCACACAACATTATGGGTGACATATCGGAGTTCATAAGAAGACAAATTGTAGGTGTGCATCTGTGACCAAGACAACAAGTATCTGTGATGATTCATGAGCCATATTATCCAGGGTAATGTCAGCATACCACTAAGAAGAACAAACCACACCCAACAGGAGTGGACGCAAGATGAAGTTGTCTGAAAGGGATTGCATGGGTGCTAACCCAGATTGTATAAAAAAAAAAGCCCAAAACCAAAGCTGCCCAACTCACTGCACAATTAAATGTGCACCACAACTCCCCTGTTTCTACCAAAACTGTTCGTCAGGAGCTCCAAAGGATCAATATACATGGTCAGGCTGCTATAGCCAAACCTTTGGTCACTCGTGCCAATGCCAAATGGCAATTTCAATTGTGCCACGAGCAAAAATCTTGAGTTGTGAAACATCTATTATTCTCTGATCAGTTCACCGTCACTGTCACTGTCACAACGAGGAGAGTTACGGTGTGGAAAAGCCCCAAAGAAGCATACCACCCAAACTGTTGCATACCCAAGGAGAATCTTTCATTTATATATATATAAAAAAAAAAAAATATATATATATATATATATATATATATATATATATATATATATATATATATATATATATATATATATATATATATATATATACGTTATTGGGTGTTTCATTTACCCGTCCCCACCAATGTCAGGTGCAAACCTACGCCCTAGTCAAAATCACTGTGCAGACCTTCGAACTGTCAATCACAAGATGAATTGATGCTGTACTGATTGCAAAAGGAGGCCCGAGACCATACTAATGAATTATTGTGGTCTAAAACCAGGCGTTGAAGTTTCATTGTCCAAACCCCTGTAAATATACTGTATATATATTTCAAGAGTCACTCATGTCATAGTGTCATTGTGTGATGTAAAGTCAGTCAGTGTCGTCCTGCTAGCTCCTTGCACAGCTGTACAAACAGATCATGTCTTCACTGGACCTTGGAGCGAACTACACACAAACACTGCACACAAGCACCGTGATAAGTATTTAGTGACTAGGTTGAATTCTTTCAATAGATTTCTACTCTGGAGGATCAGGGGATGTTTGTTGTGAAACAGCAGTATTGGGATCCTTAATGAGGCCAGTGTGACGCAATCAGTAAAGCAGTGTATGGGCCCCTGTTCCAAAACAATGGAGAATGGCTCTTATTCAGTCATCGCATAGTCTTCAAATCAATTCTCCAAGATAAGAGACCTGAGCTGTGTCTACTATTGTAACAATTCATAGTTGATTGACCGTTATTGATGGTCTTGCATGGGCGGTTTGATTAGCTGCCATGTGTGAGGAGATATTAAGCTTTTTTTAGGAGATTATTCAGGTTAAGTGTGGAAAAGTTCGCTTAAACTCGCTGACTGTTGAACTGATGACAGAGTTTATCATGTGAGAATGGTCCCGAGTTCAGACGGGACTCTTTGTTAAAGTACAAGCCTTACAATGAGACTACTGTAAAACACAAGTAAATATGAAGAAACTCTTGGCAGATTGGTACAAAAACACATCATAATTCGATTACTTTCTAAGTCAGCAAACAACACACCATCTAGACTGTAGAAATGCTGGGTTCACAATTCCTTCATGTTGTCCCAACACAAATCGGTTAAGATAAATTGACTCTTTTTACAAATTTAAGTGGATTGAACATAAAATCAAGTTGTCCTGCCCAAAAATCAAGAATTGTGTTGATCGGCTCATTTTAAATAAGTAAATACGCAGCAAAAATATATATTTTTTATGATTTATTCTGACTTTTTAGGGGGTAATTTCACTCTTTGCTGTTTCACCATTCAAAGCGATTCATTACTAAAAAGATTTTTGCTGCTTCTCCAAGCTACTTATTGAAAATGAACTGAAACAACACAACTCTTGAGGATTTTGGAAGACAAGTTAATTGTTTTATGTTCAATCCACTTAAATTTGTTAATACAGTTGAGCTTACTTAATCGATTTGTTTTGGGACAACATGAAAAAACTGTGTGGATAACAGTTGACTTTAATTTAAAAAGGTGAGTAAACCCGTTGTAACTTGAACCTGTTAAGTTTATTTATTTTAATTATTCTCATACTGTAGTTAATTTACTTAATCATTTTTAAGGCACCGGGTTTACTTATTTTTAAAAAGTAAAGTCAACGAATCTTTCATTGCTAGATTGCAGCTGAAAGGGCATCCGCTGCATAAAACATATGCTGAATAAGTTGGCGGTTCATTCCGCTGTGGCGACCCCAAATTAATAAAGGGACTAAGCCGAAGGGGAAATGAATTGAAGTCAACTAATCGCTTTTGTACTTAGCCCTACACTCTTAGGGTTTAAGGTAAAATACAGTATTAATGCCTAAAAAGTACAAAAGCGCACCTCTTGTAATTTGTAGGTGCTAATAAGTACCTTTATAAAGGTACTAATATGTATCTTATAACAATATGAAGAGAGCAGATGCGAAACCCTCGAGAGTTTTCTTCCACAATAAGCATTTTTTTTTCAGCCTCATGTTTATATTCAGTTATTTCATTAAAGTCTACTAGAGACTATTCAGCGGGTGTGAGTTGGAGATTGGAGGCCTTTAATAAACCTAAAAGAGCACATGTCACTCTGCTACTCGTCCGTTTGCACTGGCTGCCAGTTGCTGCTTGCATAAAATTCAAAACTGATGTTTGCTTACAAAGCGACTTCTGGCTTTGCTCTTTCTTATCTGCTCTCACTCTTGCAGATTTATGTACCCTCCAGAAACTTGCATTCTGTGAATGAACGTCGCCTCGTGGTTCCATCCCAAAGAGGGAAGAAATCAATTTCCCGAACTCTCGCATTCAATCTGCCCAGTTGGTGGAATGAACTCCCTAATTGCATCAGAGTCATTCGCTGTCTTCAAGAAAAGACTAAAAACTCAACTATTTAGTCTCCACTTTCCTTACTAATCTGCAATTCCCTCTCTGGCTCCACCGCTAACTGTACAGCAAAAAATTAAAAATTAAATAAAAAAAAATTACCAATGTTTTGCTTCTTACACTTTACCTAAAACTTGCCTACAGCACTTATTCATTGTTGCTCTTATAATTGTGTAAATTGCTTCCTTGTCCTCATTTGTAAGTCGCTTTGGATAAAAGTGTCTGCTAAATGACTAAATGTAAATGCAAATGTAGGTGGTTGGAGCTAAACTATGAGTTCTGATGTGTTTGAGACCACTGCTGTAGAGTGTATGCACAACTATAATAACTATTTTGGTCTGATCTCACCCAAAACATATCGTTGCCAAAGACATGGATTAAACCATTGGAGTCAGATTTCTGTTTAATGCTTCTGTTTTTTTTTTTCTAAAAAAAAAAAAAAAACCTAATTTCTAATAACTGATTTGTTTTATCTTTGCCATGATGGCAGTAAAATAATATTTGACTAGACATTTTTTCAAGACATTTCTACACAGCTTAAAGTGACATTTAAAGGCTTAACTAGGTTAAATGGGCAAACTATAGACAGAGCAATTAGGCAAGTTATTGTATGACGATTGTTTCTTCTGTAGACTATCAAAAAAATAGCTTAAAAAGGCTGATAATTTTGTCCTCAAAATGAGTTTTAAAAATTTTAAAACTGCTTTCAATCTAGCCAAAATAAAACAAATAAGACTTTCTCCTGAAGAATAAATATTATCAGACATACTAACATTTCCTTGCTCGGGTAAAAATCATTTGGGAAATATTTAAACAAGAAAAAAATTCAAAGGGGGGCTAATAATTCTGGCTGTATATCTATTTTTGCAGAAGTATGGAAATCGTCTAAAATAGCATGTGTAAGATGAGAACATGATGAAGAACATGATGAAGGTGTACTGCAGATTCATAAAAAATGTTATTTGCATCATAGTGCAAGAAATAGAACAGTGTTATGATATCAAGAGAAAGTGAAGAATGGATGTGCTGCTGTATGCACATTTATCTTACAGATCCATTATACTGTCAGTCTGAATTTAATTTTATTGCGTGTTTGCCATCTTGTGGATGCTCATCACATTGCAGGTTTTCAAGCAACTTTTTCAGAACACCGCAACTGATTGCAAATATCAAGTTTGTTATAGTTAGTTACCAAACTATAACTGCAATCATTAATTAATTCCTTAATCTACTTATAAAATAAAGCATAAAGAATTTAACTTGTTTTATGTGTTTTATTTGCAATTGTCTTAATGTCATTTATGGTTTCAACTTAATGTGCTGAAATGAACTTAAGATAAAGTAATTAATTTAAAAATAAATACATTAATTAAAAACATACAAAAATATTTTTGTAAATAATAATAATAATAATAATAATAATAATAATAATATTAATAATTAAATTATCAAATTAATGAATGAGATGATGACAAAGTAAGTTATAATATTACAAAATAATTAAAACCAAAAACCTTCGGCTTTGTCATTTTGTCAATCAGGGTATGCCACAGCGGAATAAACCGCCCAAAAAATATTGATCCAAAACCAATTCAAAATGCAACTATTTATTGTAAATTGAGTTAAACGACTAAAAATCCTGTCCAAAAATGAATATAAACATTTTTTATTAGCTAATGTATAAAAAGAGAGAGATCTAAATTACATTGTGTGTTATTCTGTTAACTACTGAGGACATTTCTTACTTTTAAATTAAAAAAGTAATTTAGACGGGTTAAAATAAATACTAGATAAAATACATTATTTCAAACACGTTTCTATTCATTTTTACACATGCTAAAATTTGATAATACCGAAAGGAGCGGTGGTGGTGAGTGTGTGATCAGCAGTGAAATCCTCCTCCTCCTGCTCCAGTCTTCCGCCTGCTGTCTGTCAGTACACACATTGACCTCCAAACATGGCCGGCGTACGAGCCCTCGGTTCCCTCTCCAGACTCACAACCAGCAGATATACCCTGTTTCCAGGTACTTCACACCTCCACAATCCTTCCTAAATTATCTCTTCATCCCTGCTTTCTCTCGCTTTGATGCTCGAGTAAATAAACCAGTTTGGAGAATCGCCACAGACACACTTCAGTCAAGTAGCTTAGCTCGACTGGCTAATTAACTCAAGGTCTACAGATGCACGTTTAGAACTGTTTAAGTTTCACAAGCGTATGATTTATAATCCAACAACAATGCAACGAAGCGGGAGTGTTTATAAATGCTGTTTTTAATTATAATTTTTATTAATAACAGTACATTTGAATGACCGGTATGCTGTTCCCATTCAATTCAGTGTGCTAATACTGTACCTTATGCCTTGATGTATGTATAAATGTGTATGTAAGTAGTTAAAGGAGAGAATTAAACGTATATGAATTAATGTTCGGTTACTGCAGAGTTCTGGCCTGCTCGCTTGATTTTAACCTGTAAAACTAGATAACTACTACTTGGATTCTGCTATAAATACAATGATAATCATTAAATACAATTATTAATTACATTTGTTTACAAACAAGTATTTACTGGCTTCCTCATGTTTTAATCACCATAGGGGGTTGTTTGGGATTATCATTGTGGTTGTAGAGTCGGTTAAGGGGAAACTAGGTTAAAGTTCATGTGTGTCTGGCTGTGTTACAGCAGTCATGTCCTCTACAGGACAGTCTACATTCTGCAGTGTGTGATTTATCTTCTTCACTGTATTTCGGGTTATCCTAACTTGACCCTCGCTGCTTACAGGTCACCGTTTTCAATTGCAAATACATCACTGTTTACCGTTTTGTCTCCCAATAAAGGTGTCACCAGGCGGACCTTTAAATTTGCTGCTTGCATGATGGGTAAGTTTTCATGTTGTTGGTTTTTACATGCATTTCTCCCAAACATGAATCATGGCAATATGTAGCATAACTTATATTTACCATTTAACATGAGTAAAATGTGAAAAAAGCCATATTTATAATGCTTGCGTCTTAGCAAAGTGCTATGCAGGTAATTCTCACTCCTCTGACCTCAAAAGGTGCTTTAGCGAGTCGCAGGTTGGGTGGTGTAGGGCAGGCAGGATCGCATTGGTGCCGTGACCCGGATAAGAGTGAGGTTTAGGGGGGTGAGTGTAGTGCAGGCCAGCTAGTGAAGTGAAGTGCTGTGCAGGTAAACCTAACTCCTCTGACTTTAGCGACAGATGCTAGTGACTATGGTCTATAGCCACGTTAGATCAACTGACTACATACAAAGAATCGCCGGTTTGATCCCAGTTCAGGCTGCAGTAGGACTGGTGGGTTACATGTGGGGGGCTCGTCCGGGATGGGAGTGAGGTTTGGGTGTATGAGTGTAATGGAAGCCAGCTAGCGAAGTGCTATGCTTCTAAAAATGTTCTGTATAAAATATGAATTAAAATGATTTCTTCTTTTATGAGTGCATTAGGAAGTGCATGTTAAATCCTTACTTGTAAGTCGCTTTGGATAAGTGTCTGCTGAATGACATGCATGCATGTAAATGAATAATCACAATGTTTTTGTTTTGTTTCTGAAGTATTTTTGTATTTTATTAAAATATTTACTATTTACACAACACATTAATATTGTGTTGGTCAAACTATACAGTGATTTATTGTGTGAATTTTACAGAAGATAAACAGCTTAAAAATAATCTAATATAAATAGCTATAAGATTATTTTCCAAAATTATTCAGCTCTATTTTAACCGTTGCTTAAAATACTGTAACATATTGTAAAATGTTATCATAATTAAAAATGTTTTGTATATGTATTAATAAAAAAATAAATGTAACTTATTCCTGTAATGGGACAGCTGAATTTTCAGCATTACCTCCCAACATTCACATGATCAGAATAGGCTGAATTGGTTTGCAAACAAAATTATTCTCATCAATTTAAGTAAAAGGCTATGCTGCTTAGTAATTTTGTGGAAACAATGATATGGGCATTCAACAGTTTTAGATGAATACGATATACGAAACAAGTAATACTGTAGCTGCGTCTCATTTCAGAGTCTGCATCCTCCGAAGGATGCAGACTTCAAAGGTGAGTCCTTCGAAGTCCTCACTGGCCAAACCGAGCATGTTTTGAAATGAGACTATCTAAACTACAGAAGATGAATCTCGTCACCAGGCAACCGTAACTGCTGCTGCTGCATAATAAGCACTAATTTCTAATTACTTTTTTTTCAAAGTGATTTTAAAACTTATTGTAAGCGATCTGAAGGCAAAACAAGGCATACAGAAGCTGGAAATATTTTTCTTTGATCCATACATGTGCAGATAAAAATGTAACCTGTCTATAAAGTCACTCTTTAGTAAGACATGTCATGCTCTTTTTGTTTTTTAACATGTGTTTAGATATCCGATTAAAGTAAACCTAATTCATACATTTAAACCAGAGTTTTCTTTTAAAAACTGCTGTTTTCAGTGCACAATGAATCTTGAGACATTCAGGATCCACCGGTTGTGTCCTTCTTTACCTGGAAAACGAAGGACACATTTTGAGGCTGTGTTTGAAGGACCCTTTGATTTTTTTTTTTTTTTTTTTTTTTTTTTAAATGAGACAGCCTTCGTCACGTCGCAATGACGCAGCGCACTTCGAATGCATCCTTTCGAGGATGTAGCCACTGAAATGTGACCGCTTATTATTCAGCAAGACACATTAAATTGATCAACATGACATATTTGTGGCACACCGAAGTTTAAAAATGCTGTTCATTAAGCAGTCTGTACATCAGAGAGTCTTCAGAGAAAAAATTGACATGATTGACAAAACACAGCAGACTTTATGACTAATGGTTCTTGTTATTATTAATAGTATTTTTTCAATATTTCCTCAGCTCGTACACATGTGAGCTATGAGGTCAAGGGAGATGTGGCTGTGGTTCGCATGAATGACCCCACCGCAAAGGTAATAATTCTCTCTGCAAACTGTGTAGAACATCGATCTCAAACTGGATTCCTGGAGGGCCGCAAATCTGCACAGTTCTCCTCCATCTCTAATCAAACACAGCTGATCCAGCTAATCAAGGTGTTCAAGACTACTACAGACTATTAAGCAGGTTTGTGTTGGAGGTGGTTGGAGATAAACTCTGCAGAGCTGTGACCCTCTATGAATTGAGTTTGAGACCATTGGTGTAGATTTATCCATTCAGATTTCGGCAGGTTTCATTATGAGTGTTTTTGTGTTGTTGTTGTTATATTCAGGTAAACACACTCTCTGTTCAAATGCAAAAGGATATGACAGAAGTTATGGATGAGGTTTGGGGGAACAGTGCTGTCCAGAGTGTTGTTCTCATCTCATCCAAACCCGGCTGCTTCATTGCAGGAGCAGATATCAGGTAAAGATCAGTACGTTCATTAACTGCTGGTGAGTTATGATGAGCATTATCGAATGCAGTACTAATATATTTCCTGCTTTTATGCTGCATTTAGCATGATTAAGGCCTGCAAGACCGCAGAGGAGGTCACTGGTCTTTCTCAAGAGGGCCAGAGGATGTTTGAGAAGATCGAGAAGTCTCCTAAGCCAATTGTTGCTGCTATTAATGGATCGTGCCTTGGTGGAGGATTAGAGGTACTACTGTCCAAATATCAAACACAGTATGCAAATGACTTATGTATACTAACAAATATTTAACAAGACATATAGAAGGTTAGTTCAGGCTTTACTGTAAATTTCTGATCTAAAGTTTTTTGGTTATTTGGTTTGACTATGCATTAAATGAATTATACAAGCAATAAGCTAAATAAAATTTGCCCCAAGAAACTTGACTACAGAGACTCAGAAGGGATGTGATCGTGGGGAAAAAATGGGTGGGAGGAAAAAAATTCAAGGAATATATATTTTAAGTTTGTGTGTTTCTTCGCACTTCCCGTTCACTTCATACCCGTCAGTCCTCCCATTTTTGCCAGGATTCACCTGTATTTTACCATTTTATCCATCTATCATCGTATCATTATGTATTTTCCCATATTTCTCATATATTTTTAATCTTGAAAATAGGTTAAATACTATAACATTACTATAAAGCATCTAAATTCTTATAAAAAAAGTTCTTTCAATTTATTTCCATTAAAGTTGTTTGTCAATCATTGCCCTTCATATGCAGCCTCGAAATCAGCAAATTATAAAGTGAACAGATCAGCTCCTCTACACTCTATTTAAAGAGGAGCTAAAGTGCAGGACACTTTAGGATTTGGATTTGTGTTTAAACAAATAAATACACTTAATAATATGTAAAATGTCTTTCCTGCATGTGTTATTTTAAACAACTAATTTCTCTAAACTAAAGTAATCGAATGCTTTCATTATAGATCTGTGCATTCTTTAAGTGACAAAACAAAACCAGAAATTAATTTACTGCTCTTCACTTGTCTAATAACAGTGGTGTCACTTTAAATGCCATGTACAGAAGCTGATCTAGGATCAGTTTTTCATATGGAGTTGATTCAGAGGTTGCATATGAAGGGCGATGATCAACGCACAGCTTTAATGGAAAGAAAGTGAATGCAGACTAGGGTTGTAACGGTATGAATTTTTTACGGTATGATAATCGTCTAAAACAATACCACGGTTTGACGGTTTCGCGGTATACGGTATGTTACAAATGTTACAAAATAATAGAACAGTGAAGCAAATTTGACTTTTTCCAAATAATATATTTTTAGTTACTATAAACAACACCACTTACAATGAACAAATTAAAATAAGAAAATAATAAATAATGTGTCAAAGTCCAAATAAAGTCCAAATAAACATGGTGCAAATCTTCAGTAAAAAATAGATATATATATTTACTATACTATAAATAGTTACATAACGAAACTAGATTCAATATGGACCATCCTTAGGTTTTATGTGCCAGCATGGATATGGTTGTCTGTGGATATGGATTTGGATATGGTTGTCTGCAATGCAGACAAACAGCTGCACCTTCATTTGCGTCTTTTGAAAACAGCAAGAGCAGCAGTTCGTCTTTGCTGTGTCACTGTTTTGTCATGTTTCTGTGCTGCTGTGCATGCAAAAGTACTTAGTATGAGAATTATTTCATGCAAAACTTTTTTTTTTGCGTTTTATCTCTCATTCCGTGTTGTTCAAAAAGCTTGGTCCACAAACAAAAGCGAAACCTATGCTTATTGGTTGTGATATAGCGAGTTTGAACCAATCTGTGCATGGAGGAGGGACAATGCATCAATGTATCATGTCTGGTTTGTCCGGAGACACAGTGACGAGCGTTTCTTTGTCAAATCAGCGTTGTCAAATTTTGATGACGTAACCGCACTGATTCCGGAGCCTCTGAAAGTCCGCTGTTATGTGATACAGCACTGGAAAGCTGAGATTCTCTTCTTTATGCCAATCTTTGAATTGTATGAATCGGATCAGCGGATCAAAAGTTATTAAACATTTAAGAGCAATACTTATTTTTAGCCGCGGGCGGCTGTCTCGGTCTTTAAGGGTTAAAACCGTTGATATGCAATTGTTCATGGTATGATAATCTTGCACGTTCAAATCGTGGTAAACCGTCATACCGTTATATTGTTACAACCCTAATGCAGACATTTTAATATTAATTTACACATGCTTTCAAGATTAAAAGTATATGAGAAATAAGGGGTATTACTTAATGATAGGATGGTAGTGAGATAGAATGGTAAAATACGGGAGAATCCCAGTAGAAACGGGAGGGTTGTGCTTTGTGAGATAGTGCAGAACAGTTTTGCGACAGAACGCAAAAACTTAAAATATTTTTAAATATATTTTCCTATCACTGTTTTTTTTCTTCCACCCATTTTTTCACCACCATCACATCCCTTCTGGGTCTCCGTAAATATAAAAAGACCTTGCTTGAATGTTTGAAACCTAGGATAAAGAAAGATGGATTTAGCACATTTGTAGTTTATTTTAGCTCATTGCTAGTATGATTTTTACATTACTAGTACAAGAAACCATGTTGCTTGCAGATTTCTAACATGGTTTGGCATATAGCTGGCATGCATATACATGCTTTTAGCACAGTTCTAGCATGTTTACCACATAGCGAATATGTTTTAGCTTGTTTGGTATGTTTTAGCATATTGTATCATACTAGCATGATTAAGCACGTTGCTAGCATGAATTTAGTGCATAAATTGCACGATTTAGCACTCTATTAGCATGATGTTTCTTCCTTGCATGTCTAAATTATACTAACATGGGTCGGCATATTGCTAACTTTTTTTGCATGCTCTTAGCTTTTTTGATATTATACTAGTAAAAAGTTGCCTGCTTTTAGCATGTCTATTTCATGTGATAACAAATGGCAAACGCTTAAACATGAATTAGCATGTTATAGATTATGCTAGCTAGCATGTTACACATTTGTTTGTATGTGTAGTTTGTATCCTGAATCTACAGAAAATCTCTCGTTGATGATGGGTTTTGTGTGTTTGTAGTTTGTCATTGCCTGTCAGTACAGAATAGCCACCAAGAGTAAGAAGACGGTTCTGGGCTGTCCAGAGGTCATGCTCGGCCTGCTGCCCGGAGCTGGAGGAACACAGAGACTCCCCAAAATGGTTTGTAATTTGACGTAATTAGTGATAATTCTCTTGATCAGTTCTCGTTGTGCTGGTTTTTACACTTTTGTTTTTGTGTAGCTTGGTCTTCCCAGTGCCTTTGATGTAATGCTGACAGGACGGAGTATCCGTGCAGATAAAGCCAAGAAAATGGGCCTGGTTCATCAGCTGGTGGATACTCTCGGTAAAACAGATCCTCTACTGTGCAGTTGTGTGTAAGATGTATGCGCACAATCTGCCATTTATAAGTTTTAGTTTTTTCATGAAGATATTATTTTATGTTTGATAGAATGCTTTTCTTTACAGCAAGGCTGTGTTTATATTATTTAAAGGTGTAGTTCACCCTAAATTGAACATTTCTTCATTATTTACTTACACTCAAGTAATCCTTTCTTTTTAATGTCTTCTGTTGTGCACACAACAGATATTATGTTGAAGTTGTATCAAGAATTATCGAAAGAAAAAATACTATGCAGGCTAGTGGCTGTTTTTTCTCCAACATCCATTAGTATATATATATATATATTATTTTTATTATTATTATTATTATTATTATTATTATTATTATTATTTTTTTTTCCACAGATGAAAGAAATTTAGTCAGGTTTGGAACTTGTGGGATGAATAAATGAGAGAATTATCCCTTTGAGTGAAATATCTTCTAAACTAAAAATGTAAACTTTTTTTTTATTTCAATGTGCTTAAGATATGTTCAACTAAATGTTAATATAATGCTAAAACTGTTGTGCTGCTTTGTTTTTGTAGTATGTACAAAGTGTTTTTTTAAGAAGCTTTTACTTTTATTAAACAAAAGGTAAAAGGAACATTTAAAGTATTATTTATTTAACAAAACACAAAATCCTTCCATTTTGGTCAGTTTAATACATCCTTCCTAGAGATGTGAATATACACTGGTCTCACGATTCGGTTCGGTTACGATTATCATGCCATCGATTCGGTTCAATTTGATTTCTCGGTGCATTGACGATGCTTTCCATACACGGTTTTATATTTTCTTCACAGCACAGCAATTCTTGTATTAAAATGTATAAATATTTTTATATACTATTTGTAATACAATTGTGTACTTTACAAACAATCAGATATATGAACTGTACCTTTTAAACAACACAGGCATTTATAGCAAATAAACAAATGTAAATAACCCACTCGCTTTCTGAGCCTGGTCTAGCGAGTTCTTTCTTATACCCTTTTGATTTGTCGCACGATCAACAGAAACTGCTGAGATTTGCTCGCTGCGCTCTTCACAGATGAGTAACACTGATAAATGGCAGCGGCTATCACAACTGATCCATGATAGGCACGGTGGAGAAATTGCCGAAGTTACCGAATTGTTCGCATCTGCATCTCGGTGCACCGAAAAAACTATTAATCTTGACACCCCTAATCCTTCCCAATAAAAAAATTGTATATTAAAATATATTAAAAGAAAGAGTATAAAAAGAGAAAAAAAAATCTTTCTGACCCAAACTTTTGAACCTGCCATGTTTAATCTTAATTAACCAAACACAGGGCCTGGATTAAAGAGTCCAGAGGAGAGGACCATTGAATACTTGGAAGAAGTTGCTGTGGAGGCTGCAAGAGGACTTGCTCAGAAGAAAATCACACTCACCAAAGAAAAAGGCTGGATGCAGAGTAAGTGTTTGTAAGGGTCAGACTTCAAGACAGTTATTTGTCAAATCATTATGAGCTTTAAATAGTCTTTTGTTAAATTACGATTCCTTTTCTAAATCTTTGGCAATGTTAAAAATTGATTTTCTGTTCAGTGTTATACTATAATTGTTTGTTATTGCTGTAAATCTTAAATCCAGCTATTTCCTTGCAGAAATTCAGGATTACGTCATGAGTTATCCATTTGTGAGACAACAGATCTACAACACAGTTGAGAAGAAAGTCATGAAGCAGACTAAGGGACTGTATCCTGCTCCTCTGAAAATAATTGAGGTATGCTGTTTGTTATTGTGTTGTCAGTCATAATTAATAGTTTACATTCAGAGATTGTTGAGTATTTATCATTGATGAAATTGAAACAACTTATGACTTTTTTTTACCATTGTTGTTATTTATATATATATATATATATATTTTTTTTTTTTTTTTTGTACAATTAATGATTAAGAAACTATGATTGTTATTGATGTGTAAATTTATATATTGAATATTGAATACATGAATATTTAATAAGTGTAGCCATGAATATAGCCCATGCTGCTGATGTAAGATCAGAACATAAATAAACAAACGTTCATTGACACCTGGTTGTTTTCTCTTTCAGAGTGTGAAGGCTGGTGTAGAGCAGGGTCCGACCACAGGTTACCTGGTTGAGTCACAGGTGCTGTGAAAGTGTTTCTTAGTCTCTGATTTGGTGCAAAGCATTTGTTTTTTTTAAAGCAAAAGCATTTGTGCATATTAATGAGTTTATGATGTTTGTTTAATAGTGTTGTTTATTTAAGTGAATGTGAATGTTGTTTTGTATAGTAGTATATTCTAATTGTCCCCTTTATTGTCTCCATTTCAGCAATTTGGCAAGTTAGCAATGACCAATGAGAGTAAAGCACTTATTGGTCTTTATCACGGTCAAGTGGCATGCAAGAAGAATCGATTTGGAACCCCTGAGAAAGAAGTAAAGTAGGTGTTTACACACTCTATTCATGCATAAATTTATCATAATTGTAAGTATACATTTATACAATAATACAAATATATATAAATATATATTACGTATACGATTAATCGCATTTGAAAGACTGAAACTTGTAATTTTAGCTATTCAAATGTAAATTTTATGTAAATGCAAGACAAATACTATTTAAATTCAAAATATAATTCATTAATAGAATTTTTGTTTAACTTGTAACACAGATTTCTTCATGTAAACAACATACCCACAATAAACCATAAAGATCCTGGCTTGAGAGCCATATTTATTACAGAAATTAAAACACAGGCATGTTAATGCCATTTGAATTTTTAAACAATCAATGCCAATAAAGAAAACATTGATCTCCATGTTGGATTCTAAGTGGACTGCAAAAAAAATGCCAAAATACAAGTATAACAGAAATGGGAAATGGAAAATATTAATAATAATAATAAAGTATTGAATACAAACAATTGCACTCATTGCAGGGCTGGACTGGGACAGAAAAATTGGCCCTGGCATTTTGGGCCAGAGCGGCCCACTGCATCAATCAAAATGCTCCCCATCACCCCACGAACTTGAATATGTTTTCCAACTCCCACTCTATAAAAGCACAAAAGCTATATATAGGAAATAACGAGAGTTGACAAATTAAAAACTTTTTTTTATTTATTTATTATTATAATAAAATTAGAATCTACACTGGAAATGTGGGTGCCTGTGTGTTTTTAGGGAGCCTAATAAATAATGAACATAAAAAGTGCCTGCTGACGCACACAGCTAATGTTGATTAATAACATAAAGATAAATAATAAAAGCAATGTGTCAGAGATAAAGATAAATAATAAAAGCGGTGTGTCAGAGACCCTTAAAAAATGTTTAATTCAACAATGGAACATCAAACGTTGCTACAAGATTTTACATTGTCAATCAATTGAATTTAAACAATTGAAAAATACAACAACTATTTGTTTGGGCCCGAACCACAAAACTAAATGTAAAAAAAAAAAGTTGCTTAAGTTGCACACTAGTTTGGTCGTATAAATATCATTATAACCATATTGTTTAAATTTTATTGTCACTATAAGCCTACATCATGCTGACGATCAAAAACACAATGTCATGATATCTCATGCGCATGCCTTCTGACTGAGTGCATCTCAAAATACATGAATTACACCCCTCATCAAGCATGAGAAGCAGACATTCTTTATCATTTGTAAAATAAAGACTTGCAGGTTAAGTAAACAGCATTATAGGAGGTAGTTGCCGCGGACGTGGTGCAGATTAAAAGTTAAAAAAAAAGTATATTTATACGGACAGATAGTTAACTAGATAGAATAGAGAGGAATATATTAATCTGTGCCCCGCTGCAGAGTGCAGAGACGCAAATGCCTGCCTGCTCTCCCGTAGACCCGGGCGTGACTATTTAGACAAATACAAACCTACGTTACAAAGAGCCCAACATGGAAGTTTGTGATTGGGTCAGCCCAATGTCAATAAAGAAAAGAACCAATGGGCTGCAGATTATGTCACACGGCCGCTCTGTCCGGAAAAGAAACATCTTATTTTCAGAGCATGACAGCTCACAGTCAATCACTTACACAGAAAAACATGACAGTCTGCTAAGTGTTTTATGGGCCGATCAGATCATAAGATGATCAGCCCGGCCCAAAAAGTACATCAAACGGTCTGCCCCTGGCCACAACAGAAAAAAAAATGCAACTGCTTAATTTTTTTTACGCGTTAATTATTTCAAATTTATCGCATGCGTTAATTTTGACAGCGCTTATATATATATATATATATAATTATAATAAATTTTTTTAATTAAGTTAGAATTTTCTATACCTTTTCTTTAAAAAAATCCTGTTTATTTAAGCAAATGGAAAGCACAATGTTACTGTACTGTGTAATTTTTTTCTTTTTTTAAAGCTCATTTAATTTAGGTTTATTTTCTAAATGTTTCTAAAAATACAATTTTGTACTGTATAAATTGAAATTAATTGTTGTTGGATGTTTGTTTTTTTTCTTTATAGAACACTTGCTATCTTGGGAGCGGGGCTGATGGGTGCTGGCATTGCTCAAGTGACTGTAGATAAAGGCATTCACACCATTCTTAAGGACACAACAGTTGATGGACTCAGTCGAGGAGAGCAGCAGGTCTTTAAAGGGTGAGAATTAAATCTAATAAAACAAATACATTTAATTAGCCTGGACTTCAAATGCCGCTGCCAGTGACTTAAAAAAATGCATTGGTGTTTGAGAGATTAGCAGTCTTATGGCATGAGTAAATACATTTTTCTGAATTTTCTTTTTTGGTGTGAATGAACTCTTTTTTTTTTTTTTTTTAAGTTAGGATTTACATTTATCATTTTATTTTACTTTATTTTTAGGCTTAATGACAAAACAAAGAAGAAGAGCCTAACATCATTTGAAAGGGACACTTTTCTGTCCAACCTAACGGGCCAGCTAGACTACAATGGCTTTAATAAAGCCGATATGATCATTGAAGCCGTTTTTGAGGACCTGAGCATCAAACACAAAGTCCTAAAAGAAGTCGAAGCAGTGAGTTTATATCAGGCAAGATGGAGATTTTAAATTCTCCTAAATACAAAACATTTGATCATGCCATATTTTCCCATGCAGGTGATTCCCCCACATTGCATATTTGCTACCAACACATCTGCTTTACCAATCAAAGATATTGCAGCCGTGAGCAAGCGACCTGATAAGGTAAGGATCTTTACATTCCTGACCGTAAATGTTCGATAGTCTGAGACGATCTTAAACTTCACACTTTTACTGTTTTGTTGCAGGTTGTCGGAATGCACTACTTTTCTCCAGTGGACAAGATGCAGCTGCTGGAGATCATCACCACTGATAAAACCTCCAAGGACACAACGGCCTCAGCAGTGGCGGTCGGCCTGAAGCAGGGCAAAGTCATCATTGTTGTTGGGGTGAGACATTTCATACATTTCTCAATCTGTTAGTCCAAAATGTGTGCTTTATGGATTAGTCTTACTAAATGATTTGGGAAAACTAATTAAAGTGTTTGTTCAGGATGGACCAGGATTCTACACCACCAGATGTTTAGCTCCCATGTTGGCAGAGGCAGTGCGTATATTGCAGGTTTGTCTATTTCCTTCTGACTTATTTCTTCAATCAGGTCTGTTGTAAAAGTGTCACCATCGGCCACTTTATTAGGTACACTTGTTCAGCTGCGTATGTATGCAAATATCTTAACATGGCAGTAGCTCTATACATTTTGGATAATTAAGGTCTGCGCAAGCATCAGAATGAGGAAGAAATGTAACTTAAATGACTTTAAAAATGGTACGGTTGATATATCAGGCTTAAAATATTCAGAAACTGTGCTGATCAACTCGAATTTTCATGCGCATCCATCTCCAGGCTTTACAGAGGATGGTAAAAAAAGGTGAAGAAGGAAAAAACTATATAGTGAGGCAGTTTTGTGGGTGGAAAAAACCCTGCTGTTTCCAGAGGAGAATTTCTAAATGCTCAGACCAACTCAAATTACAGCAGACTTCTGCAGAAGAGCATCTCTAAATACACAACACATCTAACCTTGAAGCAGATGAGCTACAGCAGCAGAAGAAGAGCAGCACACTGGTTACACTCCTGTCATATAAGAACAGCAAACTGAGCATACTAATTACGTGAGCTCACCAAGACTGGACAAAAGAAGAATGAAAAAGGGCTTTCTGGTTTAATGAGTCTCAATTACTATCATGGCTTTTAGATGGCAGTGTCAAAATTTGGCCTAAACAGCATTAAAGCATGGATTAGTTCTGCCTTGTATCAATAACTCAGGCTGCTGCTGATGTAATGCTATGAGGGAGATTTTCTTTGCACACCTACTACCTGAGTGTTGTTGCTGACCATGTTAATCTCTTTATGACCAAAATGTATCTATCCTGGAATGCTACTTATAGCAGGATACGTCATGTCAAAGCTCAAAATCTCACAGTGATTTATTGAACATGACTCCAAACTGAAAAGGCCACGGCAGTCACCAGATCTCAATCCAGTAGATGCACCCAAATTAATCTGCAGCAACTTAGTGGCTCCATTATGTCTGTTTTTAGCACCTTGTTGAATCTACGCCAACAGTGGGACCAATCTGGTTCTAGCAAAGTGTACCTAATAAAGTGGCCTATGACTATATATATATATATATATATATATATATATATATATATATATATATATATATATATATAAAACGAAGCTGTGGTTGACATTCTTCATCATTATGCACTTGTACTCTACTAACAGGAAGGCACTGATCCCAAGAAACTGGATTCCCTGACCACAGGCTTTGGCTTCCCTGTTGGCGCAGCTACTTTGGCTGATGAAGTGGGCATTGATGTAGCAGCTCATGTGGCTGAAGACCTCGGCAAGGCTTTCGGCTCCAGATTTGGAGGGGGAAATGTTGAGTTTTTGAAGTCTATGGTGGAGAAAGGATTCAAAGGTACGTTCTGAATTGTGTTTTTTTTATGCAAAAGCTTGGACTATGACCAGCAGGTTGCGTTTAAAAGATGCCAAATAGATTCAAAACATTGGTGTCTTGGATAAAAACGGCTAAATTTGGAGTGTCAGGGAAAGACATCTAACAATATTTCAAAAATAAGCTAGTCATCAAATAGACAGACTTTACGTGTGGTCGTTTATTTTTGTCTTTTTGATGACGTATTTGGCACATATTATTTTAAAGTAGACTTGATTCTTGTATACAGGTGCACATCATGCACAATCACATTTGAAGAGGGCACAATATTTTAAAGCTAGATTTGATCACGTGATTTTAACCAGATGTTGTATTAGACATGTAAGGTCCACCCAGTTGGCCTAATGAAGGTGTCCACTGGTGGATGAAGGTTCACTGTGTGTTTGGCATTTCCAATGTCTAACATTTTTGAGTATTTCCGACTCAATATGGAGCGCATCCCGTGTTCCCTCAACATCTCTAATAAACAAAGAATAATTGACTTACCACAACAGCTGAAGAAAGAAATAAGATCCAAACCTCTTGCTTGTTGTAAATCCATATTGTGCTGAATAGATGGAACTACCCTGGGTTGGGAGATCATGGAGGCCGGTCACCACTGTAAAGTCTATCCAGTTGGCCCAAAGAAGATGTCCATTAGTGGAGGAAGGGTCACTGTGTGTTTGGCGTTTCCAATGCACAATGTTGAATTATTTAAATTTAGTTCATATCTGACTCCAATTTTCATATGAGGTATTTAAGAATATTAATACATTTATCTTTTGTTTGATCTGACTCCAGTCATAAAACATTAAGAAGATTATATTGATTTAGAATTTAGATGAATATATGAACCTTTGTCTTTACCTGTAACTATTAGATTTGTTCATTCGGGTGCTCATGTTGCTCAGAGAAATTGCCTTGGCCGATGGCGTCCCTCATGGTCTTGTCAGTCTTGATTATTAAACAGAGGTGATTTGACTAATACTTATAGATTGCCGCTTCTATGCTTGCTCATTCTAAAGCAGGGGTCTCAAACTCGCGGCCTGCGGGCCATTTGCGGCCCTCAGTGCAATATTTTGTGGCCCGCGCCGACCGCTGTACTCTGACAGAATCAGCGGAGCGGGAAGAGAGAGAGCGCTCCCCGCTCCGCTGATTCTATCCGTACACAGCGCGCTTGTCACTCAATGCGCGTTCTGATCAGCTGTGTTGTCGCGCGCGTACTCAAGAGCGGTGTTATCGCGTGCCTACTGAAGGGCGGGACCGAGGGTGTGTCGCGTCGTGGGGGCACTTTTGATCATTTTGGAAGGGCACTTTCTATGCAAGACTAAAAAGGGCATGTGCTCTGCACAGGTTGAGCCTTATGTGTGCACGTGCCTGCCCTGCATCTTATATATATTGATATTATAGGTAGATACAGACTGGTACAGACTGATGTGAATGGAGTGGGGTGGGGGTGTTTTATTTATACATATATACGCCTTTTTTTTAGGTGAGGGAATGGAAGTTTTGATTGAGTTCCCCCACTTTTTTCCCTAGGACTTCAATAAGTCAAAGTACAGGTCTAGACTTAATGATGATCATCTTCAAGGCATACTGAGGGTCTCAACTGCTTCCGCTCTAAAGCCAAATGTGGTTCAGATTTGTGAGCAGAAGCGCTGTCAAGTCTCTGGCAGCAAGAAGTAGGCAAAAGATGCCATGTTCAGAAGAACTGTTCATAATCTTCACTCAATGTTCTATTAATGTTCAGGACACTTCATGTTCAGAAGAAATAATTAAAACTGTTAATAATCACATTTGAGGACTTTTTTTTGTGAAATCCCTTATGCGGACCAGACTTTGCCTCCTGCGACCCCCAGGTAAATTGAGTTTGAGACCCTTGTTCTAAAGTATTTTTGATTAGTCCCCTAAGATGTACACCCTTGAGTTAAAGGTAATCTTATTTCTAATCAGAGGTCATGGCCATTATTATAAATGTAACCGACTACTGTTCTCTATAATAATTTTGGTTTAGCCAAGCTCATGGTCTCCCATGTACACTTAATTTAGAACACTAGTTTTAAACAAGGGTCAGGCACTCTATCTAGGTTAGTCCTGCAACACCTCATTGCCCTAAATTTAAATAATTCCTTTTACACCCAAGTACACTTGAATCAATATCAAGAGTCAGGCGGATCTCTAAAATACAGTGTGCCCAATGCTCCCAATACAAGATTAACACATGATTTTTTGCTTAAATGTGAAGACCTCACTCAGTGTTTGTTCTGCAAAATTCCTATTGCTATAAAACACATTCTATTGGACTGTTCTGCTTTTAATGCCTGCAGAAGGCTTTTTTTTATTAAATTAACTCACTCCAGGAGATTTTCAGCAGTTTCACCTGGAAAAATGTGAGGATTTTTATTTTTTTTTATCATGTATTGACGTTTATTTATGTTTTCATCTGTTTTGGTTTTTTAATTGTATATTTGTTGATGCAATGCTTTTGCCATGAAAGTAGCCTTTGTTGCTGATATGGCATAATTAAAAATATATATTATATGATATGAAGAGGCAACATAATCCGCTTATTAATTGTAATGTCACGCGAATTGGCTTCTGGATTTAATCGATATCCAACTGTATGGGGATACACATGTAATGGTAATATTAAAGCGCTTTGTAAACATTTATTACTTTTGAAAATCGCAATGTATAATCCATGCCTAATATCAGATAGCCAGCAAGTAATTAATTTTTATAAATTCTTAGAATTTTAGTATTTGTGATGCAGTAAGTGCAGGGACTGTTGTGTTCACCATGGTTTTATATAAAATTCACTTTAATGTGTGAAATGACTAAAAAGTGGTCATAAATATTTTCTCTATTCAAATGAGTAGCGACTTTGACCCGGAAACAGTATTTCATACGTCACAACCTTACAAGTGGATTTTTCTCTCACCGATGATATTATTAACTATGTTTACCAACCTTTAAAGCTTATTTTTTTGCTTTTAACAGAGAGGGCGTTAAACCAGGCTACAATGTTAAAAGGGCAGGCTTCTCAATATCAAAACTTAAAATTTTTTTCAACAAACTCAATCACTACTGAGCCTTTAAAAACATTCTTTGAGTGTTTATGAAAAGAGAATTGAAAGTCCATTTCCACACCTAAATATTCAAAAGAACTCACCTGTTCAACTTCCTTCCATTAATAAGCAAAGGGTGACAAAAATTTAGCATTTTGTTTGTCCCACAACACATTTCTTTCATCTCACTAATGTTAAGCTGCCAGGAATTCTCTTTTGTCCAACTTGTAATAAAATTGACAAAAGTTTTGTAATTATCCAATAACTGCGTATTCTTTACACATCCCACCAATGTCGTATCATTAGTAGTATATTCAATGCCACAACATAATTTATAAAGTTGTGAGTTTTCAAAATTAAATGTGATCAAGGATCTTTAGTAAGACAAAAACAATGATGGAGCTGCATCACAATGGGTGATTAAAATCTATATTTTCAACAAATACAATCATATCTGTGGATTAAGCATTCCACAAGGAGGATATTTTACTGTGCATGTGTTAAAGTATATCGTGGGTTTAAGTCTATCCTTTATTGACTTGTCTTTCATATACAGTTGAATTCAGAATTATTAGTCCTCGTTTATTTTTTTCCCACTTTTTGTTTAATGGAGCGAAGATTTTGTCAACAAATTTTTAAATATGATAGTTTTAGTAACTCATTTCTAATAACTGATTTATTTTATCTTTGCCCTGATGACAGTAAATAATATTTGACTAGATATTTTTAAGACACTTCTATTCAGCGTAAAGTGACATTTAAAGGTTTAACTAGGTTAATCAGGCATGTTAGGGTAATTAGGCAAGTCATTGTATAACGATGGTTTGTTCTGTACACTATCAAAAAAATATTTAGCTTAATGGGGCTAATTATTTTGACCTTAAAATGTTTTTTTTTTTAATTAAAAACCGCTTCTATTCTAGCCAAAATACAAAAAATAAGACTTTCTCCAGAAGAAAAAATATTATCAGACATACTGTGAAAATGTCCTTGCTTTGTTGAACATAATTTAAGAAATATAAAAAAAATCAAAGGGGGTTTAATAATTCTGACTTCAACTGTATGCAATATTGTGTCTCTGCTGATTAAAGTCTTCACTTTGGGCTTTAGTATAACTGCCATTTAAATATTTTTGTTTTCTTATTTCATCGCTAGGCCGTAAATCAGGCAAAGGCTGCTATGTTTACCAGCCTGGGCTCAAACGCAGAGACGTGAACACTGAAGCTCTGGAGATTCTGGAAGCATACAAGCTGACCCCAAACGCTGCAATGTAAGTTGTTCCGGCTCGTTAGAATAGAAGTATTTTCCTTAACTTTTAATAGGACAAATCCAGTGTTTATTTTGTTGTAGGATATTTAATTTGTACTCGATCCTCATCATCTTTTGTCTATGTATCTCCACGCAGATCTTCGGACTCAGATATTCAGTACCGGTTGGTGTCCCGTTTTGTGAATGAAGCCGTTCTGTGTCTGCAAGAGGGAATCCTTGCCAATCCGGTGGAAGGTGACATTGGTGCCGTTTTCGGTCTCGGCTTTCCACCCTGCCTTGGAGGTGAGGCATTAAGTCTTGTTGTTATTTTATTTTTGAAGGTTCCTGTCAGGATCAACAATTATTCCAAGACTCAGGAAGATTCATTTTCTGAGATTTTAATTTTCTTGCAGCAAGGGAACAAAACTGAAGAAACACAAAAGGTCCATTCTGGTTGCTCAAAAGGCAGTCCTCTGAGGCCAGTTTTTAAACTGGCATACAAACAGATGATGAAGCATTGTCTTTAATCGTTGGTCTAAACCAGTGGTCAACAAACTTGTTCCTGGAGGGCCAGTGTCTTGCAGATTTTAGCTCCAACCCTAATCAAACACACCTGAACAAGCTAATCAAGGTCCTATTAGGTATACTTGAAACACCCAGGCAGGTGTGTTGAGGCAAGTTGGAGCTAAACCCTGCAGGCACACTGGCCCTCCAGGACCGAGATTGGTGACCTCTGGTCTAAACAGTTTGATTGGTAGAATCCTACTGATCATTTAATCAAATCATTGTCAACACAATGTTCCTGCAATTAGAACATTCCAACCATTCAACTGATTGAAAACTACAGTTGAGCATGTGATTATATCAAGATGCACTTACATTTATAACATTAACTTTGGGTTTCTTTAAAGGTATACATATATAAAAATAAAATATGGAAATTAATTAAATTTAATTTATCTAACAGGTACTATTAAATTATAATTACTTTTTAAATTCTATTAATACTTGATCTTTTCTGAACACTATTTAAAGTCATAGTTCAACCAAAAATTTTATTTCTGCTATTTAAAAACTTAATTTTGACTTAATATAAACCAGTTGTCACATGTATGTAGAATTATTTTTGTTCTGTTAATAAAGACAAAAGAAGATATTCTGAAGAATGTTGTTAATCTTTAACCATTGACTATCATAGTAGGGAGAACAAATACTTTAGAAGTCAGTGGTTGAAATTATAATGATTTAGGAATGTCTATTTTTTTATTGTTTATTGTAGAAACTGTGTTTAATTTGTATTAGGTCAATATTACTTTCATAAAAAAAAATAGCAGGATGGTTTTTCATGGAAATAGAAACAAATATTATTGCCAACTTTTCCACCATTTAAAAAAATAAAATTACAATTTAAGGTGCTGTAGGTGGTCTGCCAAAATGCTAACCGGTTAGCATAATAGCTTTGAAAAACAGCATCTTCCCTGCCATCTAAAGCCACACCTCCTGAACCACGCACACCTTAAAGATGACAGCAGACAGCCCACTAGTTCATGTCATTCGCCAGCTAGAAATGTAGTTAGTGGTTGGCTGGTGACGTGCAGGAATTACACATTACTGAGCCACACTTGTATGCTATTTTAGAGCCAATATTCAGAGTAGCGTGGTAAACAGTATAGGGAGCGTGTCAGTGGTGTGTTGTTGGTGTTCAAAAGTAAACCAATGTGATTATAAAACCAATTTCATCTCAGTAAAGCAGGCTAGGCGGTATAGCGCTGTTTACTTATTGTTTATTTTGTTGTTAAACTAAATAAAAATATACATTATCGATGCTGTAAAAGGTCCCTTATGAAATTAAAATAGTCACATCAATCTTTCACTGGAAGGTTTCTGTGGCTGAACAACACTTCGGTGCATATAACCCATTCATAACAACACAATCTACATCAACTTTGGGGGGCTAAAAGAGTTTTAACACAGAACATTACCTGCCTAACAGAATTACTTCAGCCATGTTGTCATTCTTCCTCCAGCGTGCAAAATTAACTCAAATATTTATTCAGGATTTTAAAAAGTTTTGATTGAGCATTTGATTTTACTGCTGTGATCTCATGTGTCTCGTATGCACATGATCGCGTGGCGCAGATGCGCGGGCAAATGTTTCAACCAGTTCAACAAAACATGAAGAGTTCAGGTAAAAAAGTTAAATTTTTCTCAGCCTCCAATATTTTTGTCCAGTTATTTCTCTGTGAAGGCAATGCAAATATTGTATTTTTGCCATAAAAGTGGATTTACTAAACATTCACACAAAAGCTTGTAAAAAAAAAAAACTTTATATGAAAATTTCAAATGTCATTTAAAGGTTTTTGCAACTGAACTCTTCTAATGTTTATGAAGACAAATAAGCACATACAGCACTTTAAAACACACACAAATAAATACATTTTAAATAAATGACCAATTAAAAGCAGCACGAGTGGTCTTTAAATGAACCTAAAAGAGCACATGTCACTCCGCTACTCATCCGTTTGCACTGGCTGCCAGTTTCTGGCTGCCAAATTCAAAGCTCTGATGTTTGCTTACAAAGCGATTTCTGGCTGCGCCCCTTCTTATCTGCACTCACTTCTACAGATTTATAGGCCCTCCAGAAACTTGCGTTCTGTGAATGAACGTCGCCTCGTGGTTCCATCCTAAAGAGGGAAGAAAACGCTTTCCCGAACATTCGTGCTCAATCTGCCCAGTTGGTGAAATGAACTACCTAACTGCTGGCCCGGATTAAGAACTCAGGGGCCCCTAGGCACATTATCTTGTAAGGCCCCCTACCTGGCCGCACCCCTATAGTTGAATTTTAAAAAATAAGAATAATATAATAATTTTTAAATAAAATGAATCTATAATTTGTTGCCCACATATTTAAATAAATGATATATAGTACATATGTATTTATAGTCTACAAAGATTTTAATTATTTTTCAAAGCATTAAATAAAAATAATAATAAAAGTATATATATATATATATATATATATATATATATATATATATATATATATATATATATATATATATATATATATATATATACAGTGAGAGTAAAAAGTATTTGATCCTTTGCTGCTTTTGTTGGTTTGCCCACTAATAAAGACCTGATCCTTCTGTACTTTTAATGGTAGATGTATTCTAACATGGAGAGACAGAGTATAAAAAAGAAAATCCAGAAAATAACTTTAAAGAATATATATTAATTGATTTGTATTTCATTGAGGGAAATAAGTATTTGATCCCCTAGTATGCATTAGGAGTTCTGGCTTTCACAGACCAGTTAGACACTCCCAATCAACTTGTTACCTGAATTGAAGACACCTGTTCTAACTAAACACCTGTGTGAAAGACACGTATTCACAGAATCAGACAATCAGACAGATTCCTAACTCTCCAACATGGTTAAGACCAAAGAACTCTCTCAGGACCTCAGAGACAGGATTGTTGACCTGCACAAATCTGGAACGGGCTACAAAAACATCAGCAAGATGCTGGGTATTAAAGTAACAACCATTGGTGCAATTGTGAGAAAATTTAAGAAGTATAACCTGACCATCAATAGACCTCGGTCTGGTGCTCCACAAAAGATTTCACCTCGTGGGGTGGCAATGATCATGAGAACTGTGAGAAATCGGCCTGCAACCACACAGCAGGAGTTAGTGAATGACCTCAAGGCAGCTGGAACCACAGTCACCAGGAAAACAATTGGCAACACTTTGCGCCGCAATGGATTAAAATCCTGCAGTGCCCGAAAGGTACCCCTGCTTAAGAAGGCACATGTGAAGGCCCGCCTAAAGTATGCCAATGATCACCTCAAAGATGTACAAAGTGATTGGGAGAAGGTTCTGTGGTCAGATGAGACCAAAATTGAACTATTTGGCCTAAACTCTACTCGTCATGTGTGGAGGAAGAAAAATGCTGCCTATGACCCCAGGAACACTGTACCCACCGTCAAGCATGGAGGTGGAAGCATTATGTTTTGGGGTTGTTTCTCTGCCAAGGGCACAGGGCTACTTCACCGCATCAGTGGGAAGATGGATGGAGCCATGTACTGTGCAGTCCTGGGGGACAACCTCCTCCCCTCTGCCAGGAAGTTGAAAATGGGCCGTGGTTGGCTCTTCCAACATGACAACAACCCGAAGCATACAGCAAAGGCAACAAAGGAGTGGCTCAAGAAGAACCACATTAAGGTCATGGAGTGGCCCAGCCAGTCTCCGGACCTCAATCCAATCGAAAATCTATGGAGGGAGCTGAAGGTCCGAGTTGCCAAGCGACAGCCCACCAACCTTAATGATTTAGAGAGGATCTGCAAAGAAGAGTGGGCCAAAATTTCCCCTGATATGTGTGCTAACCTTGTGGTTAAGTACAACAAACGTCTGTCCGCTGTGCTTGCAAACAAAGGCTGTGCCACCAAGTATTAGGTGCTTTTGGCTAGAGGGATCAAATACTTATTTCCCTTAATGAAATACAAATGAATTAAAATTTTTTCTTTAAAGTTATTTTCTGGATTTTCTTTTTGATATTCTGTCTCTCCATGTTAGAACACATCTACCATTAAAAGTACAGAATGATCATGTCTTTATTAGTGGGCAAACCAACAAAATAAGCAAGGGATCAAATACTTTTTACTCTCACTGTAATATATATATATATATATATATATATAATTTTTTAATTTTTTTAATGGTATTTTAATGTATTGCTTTTACAAACTTATAAAGCATATTATTGCCATGGCATATAACGCACAATGCTTCTCCAATCCAGTTCTATGAATCTGAGTTCTATGAATCTGAGTCTTTCATAATACAAACACTGATTTACTGTATCTCCTCCTCTCCCTATATTTTCTCTACTCTTCTCGTGATGAAGACTTGATTATAAACCTAAAAGTCTCCGAAATCACAGACACTATACCTCTTCTCTCCCCTCTCTCTCCTCTTCTGGGCCTTTCTCTCTCTCTCTCCCTCTCTCTCTCCTTTTCTGACTGTCTCTCACACGATGAATCCAGTCCGCGCTGCGCTGCCGTTAGCCTCCTTCGCCTGGTTAATGCTAGCTTCTCATCATTTAAAGTTACCATAACGTCTTCTTCTGTACCCTCATTCTCCTGATCATGGGTCTGTTTAAAGATGGTGTGTATGGAAAATGCCTCAATAAAGATTCCTCCTCTCCTCTTTCTCTCGCGTTTGCTAAATCCACTTGTCCACTCATTTTTGATCTATGACAGATATAACGTTACACTACAGTCTGCTCAGTTTAGTGCGGGTTACTACAAAACTGACGTTTCCGCGCTTGACCAATTACAGCATTCTGTTTAGTTAAAGAAAGAAAGCAATTTAAATATAATAATAATATAAATATGTGATCGCAATTTTTTTTGCTCAGAGAAAATACAGTTGTCTGAGCAATAGAGTTTTTGCCGAAAGGGAGGCACCTATAATAAGGCTAAACGTTATTAAATACCCACGAGACATTTGTGACTATCACATTTGCATTATTTTTTAAAAATGTTTCTTTCCTGTTAAAAATAAATATATTTCCAATCTGATATGTAATGGGGAGAAAAAAAAAGTAGCACGAGTTCAGCTGATGGTTGATTCGAACCGAGTTGATGATCAAACGCGTCAAAAGATGAGGCTGTGCGCCTTACAAGGTGCGCCACTGCGGCTGTAATGCTGCACAGCTCTTTACTCATCTTGTCTCTATCAATCAGGCATTGATGGGTGTAAACCCTGAATAGCTTATTCCAACTAGATGCGCTATTTGCAATTAGCCTAAAAAGACACTCCGAAATTGTCTTTTTTTCTTTTTATAGTTGTGTAAATTGCTTCCTTGTGCTCATTTGTAAGTCGCTTTGGATAAAAGCGTCTGCTAAATGACTAAATGTAAATAATAATGATGAAAAAAAAGGAAAATAACAAAATTTATAAATTAAAATAAATGGAAATCTTTCAATTTTGTTTAATTCATGTATAGTTTTCCGTCATTCCCTCATTGTTGTTTCTGTATTTGTAGGCCCCTTCAGGTTTGTGGACAGCTTTGGTGCAGACAAATTGGTGGAGAAGATGCGGAGGTTTGAGGAGGTTTTCGGGAACCAGTTTACCCCTTGTCAGCTGCTGCTGGATCACGCCAGGGATCCAAGCAAGAAGTTTCATAAGTGACCTTGAATATTAAATGTGCCATTATCATTATTACTACTTCATAGAAGTTTCAGAGATTTACATGAATAACTAAGCAATCGCATACGTATCGTGCACTTAAAGCAAGAGCACAGAATGTGAAGAGCCTTTATGTTCCTTAAAAAAAGGAAATTAGGTATGAAATATCACGTCTCCCCATAAAATGTCATGTGCTTGACTAATATTCAGGTAGACTTGGCCAAATGAGAGCCTTTTACTGATTTAGCTTTTGTATATTAATGAAATTATTAGGTGAAATTGTTTTGTAATGGTTGTGTACGAATGAGATGTACAGGCAGAGACATCAGGCGCGTTCCAGCACGTCCCGGATGCCCATCAAAACTACATTGTTTTCTAGTCCAAAAGCACTTCCAGGTCTGTAAAATAATTTTCAATTTCAGTGAGCTTCGGCACTTGTGCTCAGTTTCTCTCTGGACATAGAAAGTGGCCTCAAAAAAGACAATTAAGGAATTCATCTGTGAATTAAATTAAATGTTAAAAGAACTTTCATGATGTGTGTTTATTTTTTTATTTTATATGGTGACTTTTAAAGGATTTTAATCATATTTACTGATAGGATAAGTAATTATGATTCATATATTAACTACCTACTGTAGTGAACACAACTTTAAGACATTTTATAATGACAAAATTAGATGCTCTGCTAAATTTTCTTCTTTTTTGATGAATGTTAAAATGTAAAATCTCAAATTAGGCTGTAAGGTATGGTTATAGGATAATTAAAACTATCAACTAATAATTCTGACTTCAACTGTGTGTAAATACATGTCTATACACACACACACACACACACACACACACAAATGTATACATATACACATATATACATTATTATTAGCCCCTATAAGCAAATTTTTTTCGATAGTCTGAAGAACAAACCATCATTATACAATAACTTGCCTAATTACCCTAACCTGCATAGTTCACCTTATTAATCTAATTAAGCCTTTAAATGTCACTTTCAGCTGTACAGAAGTGTCTTTAAAAATATCAAGTAAAATATTATTTACTGTCATCATGGCAAAGATGAAATAAATCAGTTATTAGAAATAGGTTTTTAAAACTATTATGCTTAGAAATGTGCTGAAACAATCTTCCCTCCATTAAACAAATTGGGGAAAAAATAAACAGGGAAGCTAATAAGTCAGGGGGGCTAATTATATATATACCATCCAATTATATGTATATATCATTCATTATATATATATATATATATATATATATCATATATTATATATATATCATCCAACCAAATGCAAACATCCGGGCCGAGAGCGCGCACCAAAGCCCCGCCCCTCAGGTTCCACTCTCTCTCTATCCCTTCTTCCCTTCATGTGTATTTACGTGAGCAGAATCCCGCCACCCGGAAGTTTCCGATGGATGATGTTGGCGATTACAGCGCGCTGATTTGCTCGTCCATTGCGGCTCCGCTGGCGCTCAGTGAACCGGCTGCGCGGGGATGTCCGGCCGTGTGAGTGCTCCTCCGGCATGAAGCAGGGCTCTCCGTGACTCCTCCAGGATGCTCCGGCTGTTCGCGGCTCTGGTGGTCCTCGGGCTGCTGCTCGCCTGCTTCACTTCCTGGCTCTTCGACAGCTATGACGGCGCCTGGCACCCGAAACGCAGCTTATTCCCCCAGTCCGGGCGCAGCGGCGGCCCTCCGCACCCCGGCGGACAGCGGGACAACATCTTTTGGTTCGTGCAGGTGAGCGGAGGTGAAAACACACCGGTCATTAGACTGTCAACGGGCCGACCATGTGATTGATTGGAGGACGGCTTTTATTTTGCGTTCTGCCATAATAATTTATTCTCGCTGCGATATGGAGGATTATGGGCTGTCATGTTGAATATTAATGGCTGAATATTGTAGTATGTAGCAGGACATCAAGTGTGTACAGTAGGCTTTGGTAAACTGTGTAGTTATGATCAGGACTGTGTTTAATGATATAAAAGTAACGTTATATGGTGTGTTAGATCAAATATGAGACGGACATTTTATTTTTTCATGAAGACAGCGTATTTTTACGTTGCAGTGAGAAGTCTAGAGTAATCAGGCGTTTGAGTGTAACGTTGTTTTATTGTAATTGTTATGTATATTTGTAACGCGAGTTGTCATAAGAGTACATTGGAAGGCCTCTTAAGATTTACATTTAAGGGATAGTTCACCACAAACATGATGACAATTGTGTCATTTACTCTCAGCTTGTTTCAAACCTGTTTGAGTGTTTTTTTTCTTCTTCTGTTGAACACACACACACACACACACACAACCAAAATGTTTTTAAAGAAAGCTGGAAACCTGTATTAACCATTGACTTCTATAGTATTTAGTTTTTTCCTATGGATGTCAATGATTACTGCGTTAAAACATTCGTCAAAATATCTACTTTTGTGTTAAACAGTAAATAGGGAACAAAGTAGTATTTTTGGGCAAACTATTTCTGATTTACAATTTATTTCTGTGGTCTTAAAATTATTATTTTATATTTATATTTTATTTTATTGTTTATACTATATTTTATTATTTCAAATTATATTCATTCATGTTATATTATATTGTGTATATATTGTTCATTGATTCATTTTCTTTTTAGCTTAGTCTCTTTATTAACCAGGGGTCGAATGAACCGCCGACTTATCCAGCATATGTTTTACGCAGCAGATACCCTTCCAGCTGTAACCCACACACACAGTCATTCACATTCATAAACTACGGACAATTTAGCTTATACAATTCACCTGTACCACATCTTTGTACTGTGGGGGAAACCGGAGCACCCGGAGGAAACCCACGCGAACACAATGAGAACATGAAAACTCCACACAGAAATACTAAGTGACCCAGCTGAGGCTCGAACCAGTAACCTTCTTGCTGGGAGGTGATTGTGCTACCCACTGCGCCACCATGATGCCCCATATTATATTATATGTATATTATATTATATTATATTATATTATATTATATTATATTATATTATATTATATTATAAGTTATGTGAATTTATATTATATTATATTCATTATGCTTCATTATATATTCAGTACTTCTCATTTTAGTGTTTATAAATATTTTAAAGACCGCTTGTATAGAGCTTCATCAAGATAATTATCATAATATGCTATTCGTTTACAAATTAATGCATGTGTTATTTTAAATGTCAACTCTTATTCGGGTTTTGATCTGTGCCTATTGATCTGTATAGGGTTTTGCACCTCTGTGCCATTACCAATCATATGTACGGTTGGAGTTGCATCTGTAAAAAAATATTTTTTAATGTTTTTAAGTAAAATGTGTGTTTTTATATAAACAAGCATGTCTTAAACCTGCCTAACAAGAGCCAGGCAAGTTGATTATTAATTATTCAAATATTACTCTCAGATCACTCAGATTTGACCTTTTAAGACGCATGGAATTGATAAACTTGTATAAATAACTATTATTTAACTATTATTTTAAATTATAGTATATTTTTATGCAATTCTGATTCAAAATGTTCTATATTGATTGGGCTGTAGCTAACGATTATATTGGTCACGTGTGTGTACAGATAGACACACAGACGGATAGGCTGAAGCATAGACAGACGGAAAGACGGATAGATAGATAGATAGATAGATAGATAGATAGATAGATAGATAGATAGATAGATAGATAGATATGGATAATACAGAGAGATAATCTATATCTTTTGTACCTTTTGATTTCTTGTAAACAAAAAATGTGACTTTCGATCTGTCTGTTTGGTGTGAATAAACCTCTTGTGCTATAAATTAAAGGATACAACATTAAACCTTCAGCTGTGTACAGACTGGCACATAAGAGATGCCTCCTGCAATATGCCACTGACACTTTTTCTATAAATAGTCATGCTTTATGTGTGAGATTTCCAGCACTCTACACACAGGCCTGCGTGAAGCCTCATCATCATTATCATCATCATTATTATAATTATTATTATTATTATCTGCTTTCCAACAATGCTGGTTTCTCTTTGCAGGTGTCCGACATCCATATCAGCCGTTTCCACGATCCGAGGCGCATCCCAGACTTCGAGAAGTTCTGCACTGACACTATTGACGTCATTAAACCTGATCTTGTGCTGGCCACAGGTGAGATGAATTATTAGCCCTCCTGTGTATTTTTCCCCCAATTTCTGATTAATGGAGCGAATATTTTTTTCAACACATTTTCCAACATAATAATTTTAATAACACATTTCTAATAACTGATTTATTTTAGAACATATTTTTTTTTTTCCAGATACTAGTATTCAGCTTTTAGGGACATTTAAAGGCTTTGTTTAAGAGTGGTTTGTTCTGTAGATAATCAGAAAAAAAATTGCTTAAAAGGGCTAATAATTCTGACCTTAAAATGGTCTTTAAAAAAATTAAAAAGTGATTTTATTCTAGCCAAAATAAAACAAATAAGACTTTCTCCAGAAGAAAACGTACTATAGGTAATACTGTTAAAAAATCCCCGCTCTGTTAAACATCATTTGAGAAATATTTTAAAAAAGAAATAGATAATAATAATAATAATAATTCTGACTTCAACTGTACATTGTCAAGTTAGATTTTATATGTACATGAAATATAATGACACTCACAAACACGTGTGTGTTTCACTTGAACAGGGGACTTGACAGATGCAAAGACTGAGAGTAAAATGGGCTCTCTTCAACATGAAGTGGAGTGGCAGGCCTACCACAACGTCCTGAAAAGATCTCGAGTGCTGGAACGCACAAAATGGATTGACATTCGTGGAAACCATGGTGATTATTTTGTTTACTAAATCATTTAAAAAAATAATAGTTCACAGACAAATGTATCCCCTAATTTACTCCATCTCAAGCCATCCTAGGTGTTTCAGGTCAGGTGGACATAATCTGGGTCATGTTATAGGCACAGTTGGCATTTTTGCCACTAGAGGGTGCATATTCACAAGAATACAATACAGTGGTAAAAAAAAAGGAAATCAATGCTGTGTAAGATCGTTTCACTAGTTCATTCATTCATTCATTTTCTTTTCGGCTGTCCCTTTATTAATCAGGGGTCACCACAGCGGAATGAAACGCCGACTTATCCAGCATATGTTTTACGCAGCGTATGCCCTTCCAGCTGTAACCTATCACTGGAAAACTCCCAAACACTCTTACATACACTGCAGACAATTTAGCTTACCCAATTCACCTATAGCGCATGTCTTTTGGACTGTGGGGTAAACCAGAGCAGTTAAAATTGGTCATTTTAAATTTAAACTTGAGCTTTTTTTGAAACATTTGGCATAATTTAAGTACATAAGTCAACAAAACATGTAACACTTTTCTAGTGGTTTTGGTATATTTTAATGACAGAAAATCACATGGTTTCCTTTTTTTGCCTTTAAATAATATCCCAGCTTTTGAATGGCAGTGAATGGTGCTCGAGTTTTCAAAACTCTAAAACGTGAATCTGCCGATCATTAAAGTAACCAGTGCAGCTCCAGAGGGTTAATAACTGATGTCTGAAGTGAATCAATGTTTTTTGTAGGAAAAAAATCCATATTTAAAACTATTATTAATGGTTACTAATAATCGCTATATACACGTAGCTGCACTACAATATTTTAAAGACCGATTAGTGAACAAAAGTGAGTTGTTTTGGCTAAACTTTAGATTTAGTTTGTGTCTATCCAGGATTTTTTCATACGCCAGACTTTGTAAATGAAAGCCAATAATATTAATAATTAATTAATTAAAAAACCCATCACTTTGCTTTTCCAGAATGCACTCATTAACCCACTGGAGTCTTTTTGGATTACTGGATTATTTTTATGATGGATAGATGCACTTTTATAAAGCTTTAAAAACTCGTCCATCATTCACTGCCATTGAATAGCTGGGAAGAGCCAGGATATTGCTTAATACAACTCAGATTGTTTGGTTAAAGAAGAAGGGCATATACTCCATAGATGACATGAGGAGGATTATTTATGGGATATTTGTTTTTATTTTAGGCGTACTATTCCTTTAAGGAGGGGAGTTGCGAACAGAATGATTGTCGTCAAACAGGTTATCTGAACTCTCCACGTGGACCTCGAAGAAAAAGATTGCTACAGTATTTTGCAATGTGTTTTTTTTTAGAAAATATCCGTAAACTACCATCAATAGAGTGTAAGAAGATCATTCAAACTACACAAATGCAATAGTACACGTTCACATACTTTAGCCTCTAATTTGAGCCTAAAATAGACAGTCCTGGCCCAAAATCACTTAACTGGTTGAGCGAGTGTTGCTGATTTGAGCAGGAATGACAGCGTTTGCATTCTTCGTGAACGGACGGTTTCATATTACAAGTTAAAGGAAACAAAAAATGTACCTGATGACACTTTTCAGTTTTGTTTTCCATTGTCGGTTTGGTCCACAGTTTGTAATAGAAGCGTCTGGAAGTTTGGTGGAAGATCTTAATAAAGCTCCGAATTAAAGTTTCCACTTTGCGCATCGCTGTTGGTCAGGAACAATTATCGTCCATCTTTGTCCCAGTGTCTGTTGGCAATAAAACAATTAAAGGACATTGAGCGAAGACAGCTGGACACTGTTATGTCACACTAATGACTTGAAATGAAGCCCAGCTCTGTTAAACAGGATATTGCCGGCTTGTTATGACACAAGAACAAACTTCAGGAGGATTAATAACCACTTTGCTATTGTGAGGCTATTGCTCATTAGTCTTATTGCAGTACATCCATAATAAATCAAATCAGTTTTCATTTACGCAACAGGGCTATTATTTATTATTTTAATTCAAATACATTCAGGCTTCTTTAGAATTATGTTGATGTTTTAACATTAGTATTATTTCAGTTTTAATCGTTCTAGTACTTTTAATTCGGATTTTACTTTTTTATATTTCTTTTTAAAATTATTTTAATGATCGAAAACATTTTGTTTTAGTTCATCATTATAACACAGGTACAGAGCGATATTCCATATCATATACATGAGTTTTTTTTTTTATGTAGTCAGTAAAACACAAAAGGAGATCTTTAGATAAATGTTCACGCTGCTTTTTTCCATACCTCATGTTTCTGATTCAGACAGTACATTTTCAAAAATAAAAACTGAAGTAATTTTTCCCTTTATTTTCAGTGTTCAGACACTATTTGATAGCTTTTTAGAGAGAAAAAGACTGGCATTGTCGGCGCCAATAGCCAAGTGGCATAGTGCGCTGACAGCACTGTAGTGCTCACGGCGATTCTCGAGATCCTTTGCTGATCGTCCCCCCTCTCTAAGCTCCCCATGTATTCCTGTCTCAACTCTACTGTCCTAAATAATAAAGGAGGGTTTCTGTGGGGTCTTAAAGTCCTAAATTTCAAAAATCCAAGTTTTAGCCCTTAAAAAGTCTTAATTTTACTGAAATATTGTGCGTCTTAAATCTTTTTTTTAAACAAAAACTTTCCTAAAAATTGTCTTAATTTTCCTTTGTTCATGTATTGCTATCCAATCTGGCCAAATCCATACAATCACCTTACAATCCAGCTCCATGAAACTCTGTTTACCATAGTGGGTTAATTATTTTCCTTACAATAACATTTGTTTAAAAGTGCTCCATCTATTTACTGCTGAGGACACCGACTTGGACAGATTGTTGTGCATAGATTTAGTTTGTTATATTTTGTATACATTTTAAAACATTTGTTCAATTTCTTTTTATTTTAAAGAAAATTTTTGTGTGACAAAAAAGTGTATGGATATAAGTAGATCTTGTTTTTACTCAATATTTAAAATATTTTGCTAAGAAATAGCTAAAATATTATTTTTGTATTATTAATGTATTATTAAATCAATGTATTTTAAATTATAATCTTTTTTTGATAGGGCAAATAAACAAATCTTTTCCATCTGGGCCTTTTGAAAAAGTCCTCAGCGTTGAGCCCTTTATGAGTCTAAAATTTTATTCATAATGTTCTTAAAAATGTCTTCAATTTCACTTGGGGAAACCTGCAGAAACCCTGTAAAGGTGAAACAAACCCAAAGAATATAATTATTAAAAAACGACTGACATTTTAAGTCATTCTACTTTGTTGTATTGAAATGGTATTCCTTGAAAAACTGTAAATCCCTTATTGCATTTCCAATGACGAGTACAAATTAAAACTGAACAGTAGAGTGCAAAAGAATCACAACTTCTCTAATTAACCACATATGCAGGTAAATGGAACATTTGAACCAACAGGAGTTAATATTACCAACAAAACATTCATAAATCAGTGTAGTGAGCAGCAGCAGTTGTTTCATTGTGTATTTCAACTGGCAAATTAATATATTTAGCTACAGAAAAAGCATCAGCCTAATAAAGGTCTCTAATGAACTCCCCCCATAGCTCTTATATCATTTTCCCTCTATTCCCATTATCCCATTTCCCCACCGGTCCTGTAACTGGTGTTACATTACGAAAGCTGCCAGACATGTAATAAGAGCTCCATTATCAGTTATTTTGTCCCCGCTCCTCTTCCATTTCCTGCAAATCTCCACTGATTTTTCTCTCTCTTTGTCTCCACAGATGCCTTTAATATCGTTTCTCTGGAGAGCGTGAACAATTATTACAGGTCTGTACTAATATTATAAATGCAGAAAATATAGGAGGTGTAAAACTACAAGAAGTTTCTGATATTGAAAGTGAAAATGCAATTTAAATGGTCATAAATGAACTATTCGTTTATTTTTTAAAAATTGTTTACATAGAGCAAATTTTATACAAAGACTATCTCGAATTGAAAAAGAAGTGTGTGATATGGAAAAAAACGTTTTTTTTCTCTTAACAGTAATTCAGCTGAGTGTTTATTTCTTGGCTGGTTTCTGCCATGAGTAAATACAGAATACTAAACCACCAACAGGTGGCAACAAGTCATAATAAAAGTACAATCATGATTTATTTAGCAGGACTGACTAAATATAAATAAAAGAAAGGGATAGTTCACCCAAACATTTCTGCCATCTTTTGCTCACCCACTTGTTTTAAATCTGTTTGAGCTGAACACAGAGAAAAATACAGTTGAAGTCAGAATTATTAGCCCTCCATTGATTAATTTTTTTTTTATAAACCTAGTTAAGCCTTTAAATGTCACTTTAAACTGTATAGAAGTGTCGTGAAAAATATCTAGTAAAATATTATTTACTGTCATCATGGCAAAAATAAAATAAATCAGTTATTAGAAATGAGTTACTAAAACTATTATGATTAGAAGTGTGCTGAAAAAACTCTTCTCTCTGTTAAACAGAAATTGGGAAAAAAATAAATAAACAGGGGGGCTAATAATTCAGACTTCAACTGTATACTGAAGAATGACGCAAACCAGTAACAATTCAGCTACATTTACAGGACATGCAGAGAATCCAAATTGTGGTACTCTCAGCTTTTTTTCTCTTTCGAGCACAATATATTTTAGTTTAAGAAACCTCACAAATATTTTGAAACAGTAAACATGTCAGGCTAAATTAATTATTGACTTCTGCTGTCTTTATTTGCTTCAAAATTTTTATTTTTTATTTTTTTACAATTTAAAACGGCATCTTTGGACTAAAAAAGTAATAAAAGATCATCCACATATCTTAGGAATGGTTTTGCAGAAAATTTTTACGGTTTGAAAACCTTGACTGATCTAATATTCATGACATACTCTATAATATCAGCCTGCACACTGTTAAATCATCAAACCACACACACACACACATTGTGGTAAACATTTTTTCATTCTGACTTTAAATAAAAGGGTTAGTTCACCTAAAAATGAATGTCCTGTCATTAATTTGTCATGTCATGTCAAACCCCTGAAATCTTCGTTTAGCTTTATAAAACAAAAGTAAGATATTTTAGAAGAAATCCTGGAGCTCTCTAATTCTCCATATACAACAACGATCCCGAGATGTTCAAAGTCCAGAAAAAGAACCAACAGCTTTAAAACAGTCATATTTAGAGTTGTTTTCTGACAGTATTATTATAGTTGAACCACTGAAGTCACATTGAATCTTTTGTTTTTGTTTCCTTTTCCAAATTTTGAACATTTCACTAATGTTCTTGTTTATGGAGGATGAGAGAGAGCTTTCAGATTTGATCTAAAATATCTTCATTTGTGTTCAAAAAAGTATCTGATGTCCCTAGAGGCTGTATGTGAAGTTTCAGAGTCCCTTTTGAGTACTTTGATCCGAAGTGTGCCATTTTAATGACTGTCGCTTTAAATTCAAATGAGACTGTGCTCTTATCAAAAGAGGGCGGAGCTATAAATGTGTCAGCATAATGGCAGATTAAAAAACAAGACTAGCGTCCTAAACTAATGAGGGAGAGATTATCACTAATGGGCGTGGCATTCTCCATCTAATGACATCATACAAAGGGAAAATGTCAACCTAAGTGTTTCTGCAGATTGTTTTGGACTGTGATTATAAAAAAAATTAAAATAATAAATGTTTACCATTAGAAGCTGGTTATATTCACAGACTTTTACCACGCAAGTTTGTTTAAACCCCTTAAAAATATGTTTTTTGCATAATAGGTTCCCTTTTAATAATCTTTTTTTTTTTTCATTTTTTGTGAACTAACCCCTTTAAGTCAATACACCTATTCAAACTAGTCATACAAGATTCAAATTTGTTTTTTAATCATCATGCTTTCCTGAATATTTAGGAAATACTCTGCCAATCAGAAAGTAGGATCCTTCCACTACGTACACAGAACTCCCTTCGGGAACTATTCGTTCATTTGTGCTGATGCCACTCTGGTCCCGGGACCAAAACGGCCTTATAACTTCTTTGGGATTATCGATGAGGTAGGAGAGATGCAATGAATTTTTTTTTGCTCTGGAAATGTGGTGATGTGATTGTTTGTCTTTGGACTGAATTCTGAATGTTTCCGATAGTCTCAGATGGACATGTTGGAGACCTTCAGAGAGGAGAGCCTGAGCAGTAACAAGTCCATCTGGTTTGGACATTATACCACATCCACTGTCATCTCCCCCTCCCCAGGAATCCGAGAGCTCATGAGGTTTGGAGAAATCAAGCAATAACACTGTCGCTTGTTTCCCACTGATATCACATATGCTGTTTTATGCACATCTATGTCTGATTTGGGTATTCTTGCATAGCCAGAACTGGACAGCAGAAGGTCTGGTCCACCCTGAAGCTTACTGCAGCTAATTATCGACCGCTCACAGAAAAAAGCATGGGATTATTATATAAAGTGAACAAGTTTTCTTTATTTTTGTCTTTTTTTCTGTTCTATTCTCTAAGGGGCTTGTTTAACTGAAATGACATTAAATTACAATTATGTAGCAGCAGGAAAAAACTGAAGTAGCTGGAATAAAATTCATTTACAATAATACATTTGATGCTAGGTGTAATAACACAAAAAATAAACTATTTGATCAAAATGTTAATCTTGTGAAATATTATTGCAGTTTAAATGAAATTAATTATAAAATTAAATCTACTTTAAAGTGTAATTTATTCCTGTAAAGCTGGGTTTTCAGCTGCATTACTCCCGTCTTCAGTGCCACATGACTCCTCAAACAAATTGGTCTAATATTATATATAATTCAGTGGTCAGTGTTATTAAAATATATTGTGCTGTTGAATATTTTGGTGAAAATTGTTATAATATTATTTCAGCATTCTTCAATTAACAGAACAGCGTGAGGTAGAAAATCTGTTTTAATGTCTTAGTGTTTGAATGGTAGTGTACATTAACATAATTACAGAAGGAAGACTATATGTATAAATACACTGAGAAAACAAGTTCTGTCTGTGAGTTAATTATTATTACAAAAATACAAATTACTTTGCATTGTCTACTAAATATAAGACCTGAACATTTGAAGTGGAACCTTTCGTCAAAGTTCTAAATCTATTGACCATCTCCCATTCTTGTCTTAGAAAATGTTTAGATCCACTTCAAATGTTGACTACTGTATACACTACCTGTCGAAAGTCTAGTGGTTGATTCTAGTTGTAAGAGCAACAAATAATAACTTGACTTCTAGTTGATCGTTTAGAAAAGTGTCAGAAGGTAGATTTTTCAGTTGAATCATCTGTTGAACTGCTCAATCATTACAAATACTGCAGAAGGCCTATTGAAACCTGCATGGATGCAAGATTCTCATAGAAATCAGTCAAGTTTGGTGAAGGAAAAAGTCATGGTTTGGGGTTGCAGTCAGTATTGGGGCGTGCGTGAGGTGTCAAGACATTTGTGCTTCCCATTAGATTACAAACCACAGGAGAGGGCAAATTCTTCTCATACTTCAGCTTCTACATCAAAGTTCCCGAAAGCAAAGAAGGTCAAGGTGCTTCAGGATTGGCCAGCTTAGTCACCTGACATAAACATTATTGAGCATGTCTGGGGTAAGAAGTAGGAGGAGGAATTGAAGATGAATTACTGTCCTATTTAAATAATTAAATCAAGCCATGATTATATATTTTTGTTAAAATAAGCATAATCTAGAGGCCTTTGCCTTTCATATAAGCCACTTCTGATACCAAATGATCAACTAGAAGTCAAGTTATTATTTGTTGTTACTAAAACTGATAGACGACAAGACTTTTGAAAGGTAGTGTATTCTTTGTTCTTCACTAAATGCTTTGAATTAAGAAACCTTTTAACAAGTCATTTCACTACCCTAGCAAATCCAATTATTGTTTCATCCTAAAATCACCATTTGCATTAAAACTTGCTTTTTTAAGAAGACTGTTTAATTTTAGTAACAATACTTTAAAATGATTATGGGCATTGTAAATCAGAATCTGTGGATTGTCTGAGGCAACCGTCTGAAATTTGGGACAACTTTCAAATGTCATTGCAAATCCCATGTTTATCTGGTCATCTGACCTACATTTTAAAGCCTAGTATACAGTATGGTTCCTTTTGTATTCAGTTCTGACAGATAAAGGGATAGTTCACCCAAAAAATGAAATTATTCATCATTTACTCGCACTCAGATGTGCCAAACCTTTGAGTTTTTTTGTTAAACACAAAGGACGGGATTATGAATGTTGAAAAATGGTAGCCATTGACATACATGGTAGGAAAAATAATACTACCAATTTCCAACATTCTTTAAAATATCTTTGGTGTACTGAAACAGCAAGTACAAATTAGTATCGCTTTAATGCATAGATATATGCAAACATCATATTCAGTTCAATTTATTTGAGTATTATAATATAAGCACCACTAAACTGCAGATTATATATTGTATTGTATACAGTCTGTACAGTTTGCATACTATAAAACTATTAGTGTAAGTGCAAACACATCATATTGTGCCAATTTTTATTACTGCTTGTTTTTTTTTTTAACAGTACAGCTGTGGCATATTTGTGTGGGCACCTACACACACTGGGAGGCTTCATGCCGGCTCTGCACAGTCGCCATCAAGGTGGCACCCTGGAATTAGAGCTGGGAGACTGGATGGACAATCGCAGGTGAGTTCATGGAGAACTAGCTCCACACTTAGGGAAATGTAAATATGTGACCATAGACCACTAAACCAGTTATGTATGTTTTGCTTTTTATGGTTTGTTAGGATAGGACAATAATATGTTAGATGCAACAATTTGAATATCTGGATATTGACATTTCACAAAGTCCAAATACTGAGAAATTCGCATTTATAGTTGCTTAATATTTTTACTAATCAAAAAGGGAGTTTTGACATGATGAGATGATTTATACAAGATGTCACACTAGACTCACTCATGAACATCTACTCAAAGGAGAAGTTGCTCCAAAATCCAAAGTCAGTTTTTTAATAGCAAGCTAATTGTCAAACATATACTTTTGTAATGCTCTAATTTTGTAAATTGTCAGACAACGATTTTTATGTAGAGAGATTTTAAAGGAATAGCTACTTTTCATTTTCTAGTCTCATTGTTGTTATAGTAGTCATAGTAAAAGAAGTTGTAGCAGTAAAAGTAGTAGTAGATGTAGTAGTAGTAGTAGTAGTCATCGTAATCATCGTAAAAGTTGTAGTAGTAGTAGTCGTTGTCATAGTAGCAGATGTAGTAGTCGTCGTAGTAGTACTCGTAGTCATTGTAGAAGTAGTAGTAGAAGACGTAGTAGATGTTGTCGTAATAGTAGTAGTCGTCATAGTTAGTCATCATAGTAGTAGTAGTCATCGTAGTGTTCATCATTGTAGTAGTAGTACTCGTAGTTGTTGTAGTAGTCATTGTCGTCATCTTAGTAGTAGTAGTAGTAGTAGTAGACAGTAGTAGTAGTAGTCATCGTTTTAGTAATAGTTGTCATGGTAGTAAGTAATACTCGTTGTCGCCGTAGTAGATGTAGCAGAAGTAAAAGTAGTAGTAGTTGTAGTAGTAGTCGTTGTAGTAGAAGTAGTAGTAGTACTCGTCATAGTAATAGTAGTAGTAGTAGTAGTTGTCATCGTAATCATCTTAACAGTTGTAGTAGTAGTAGTAGTCGTTGTCATAGTAGCAGATGTAGTAATCATAGTAGTACTCGTAGTCGTTGTAGAAGTTGTAGTAGAAGACTTAGTAGATGTTGTCGTAATAGTAGTAGTCGTCATAGTTAGTCATCATAGTAGTAGTAGTCATCGTAGTGTTCATCATTGTAGTAGTAGTACTCGTAGTTGTTGTAGTAGTCATTGTCGTCATCTTAGTAGTAGTAGTAGTAGTAGTAGTAGACAGTAGTAGTAGTAGTCATCGTTGTAGTAATAGTTGTCATAGTAGTAAGTAATACTCGTTGTCGTCGTAGTAGATGTAGCAGTAGTTGTTGTAGTAGTCATTGTAGTAGAAGTAGTAGTAGTCGTCATTGTAGTAGTAGTAGTCGTCGTCACCGTAGTAGAAGTAGTATTAGTAGTCATCGTCACTGTAGTAGTAGTATTAGTAGTCGTCGTCATCGTCGTAGTAGTATTCGTCATAGTAGTGGTAGAAAAAGGCGGCTTAGTAGAAGTTTTAGTTGTAGTAGAAGACAAAGAAGAAGATTCAAGCTTTAAATAGGAAAATGATCAAACCTTTGGTCAATTTAGAGCGAGATGCTAATTGTCTAATCCAATTTAATGATTTATGCTAAGCTAAGCTAAAAATGCTCCTGCCAGATCTGGAGATCGGCTGAATGGATTGGTTTATCTCAGCTGTTTACCTGTCGGGGAGTTTTTTTCCTTTCAAAAACTGCTTTAGATTTTATTTTTAGTTTATGTTTTATTTACCGTTGATGTCTTTTTATTGTTATAATCATTATTTATTAAATGATGTTTGTACATTGGCCATAAAAGCTGATATGGCAATAAACTCAAGAAAAACAATTGTGTTGTAAAAGCTGTTCTCCCTTGGTTCAGGTACAGGATTTTGGCTTTCGACCATGACCTGTTTAGCTTCTCCGACTTGACGTTTGAGGACTGGCCCGCCATGCTGATCACCAACCCTAAAGACGCACAGTACCTGCAACCAGGAGTGGAGCCTCTGGGTCGAATCCGCAGTTCCACTCACATCAGGTGTCTCTGTGTGTGTCCTCTTAAACCTTCAAGTGCTCAAACATTGGCTAATGGAGCATTACCGTCTCCCATCCAAACCTCATGCTCTTGTTTATTTTCCTGCTCGCATGTTCTGTGTGTTCTTCACGCTTTGGCTGCGCACTCATTGTGCCCTGTTTGGTGTTCTGCAGGGTCCTTGCTTTCTCTGAATCCCCCATCACAGCCGTGTACGTGAGCGTGGACGGAGTTACACTGGGAAAAGCAGTCAGCGCTGGAGGTCCTCTATATGTGCTGCTCTGGGATCCAATGCACTACGCTACAGGACTGCACACTATCAAAGTCAAAGTGGAGGTAGCTTATAATTTGAACAATCACCCAACACTTAATATGATTGGATGGCAGGAATTTGATCAAATTGCAACATTGTGTCTATCTGCGTTGTTGATTACCTGACATCAGGGGTGTCAAAGTCAGTAGTTTAGTTCCAATCCTGCTCCAACACACTTACCTGTAGGTTTCAAACAAGCCTAAAGGACCCAATTAGTTGGATCAGGTGTGTTTAATTAGGATTGGAACTAAACTGTGCAGAGCTGCGGCCCTCCAGGAACTGGCTTTGACACCTGTGCCTTATTCAGTTCAACTATGCTAATGATAATGATTAATTGTACTATATTATTATTATTATTACTATAATAATAATTGATAATACAAGAGAAGGGACAAAATTGTCAGTGTAGTTCGACTGTATGCTAAAAGTATGCTTTACATAGGATTGATAATACAGGATGTGCTTTAGCCACATAATTGGCAGTTCAGTTCAACTCTGCGAATTACTAATATTCAAAATTAATTATAACAAGTTATTATTTAATTCTGAATATTTGGGTTGACTTTATTGTTAATGGTAGCCAAACTAAAATTACATTAAATTAAACTGCTCGTCTGTTGCAGCCTACAATTTATTTGTCTATTAATCCAAATATCAGTTAATTTCCTGGTCTAGAGGAATAATTAATCTTACCACATTAACGAATTAGTATTAGTGTAAAAAGCAAGCGATCTGCATGGCCTCAAACGTTTAATAATGGTAACACAAAGGTATATATATATATATATATATACATATATATATGTATATATATGGAAAAAATATATATATATTATAAAACACATCTATTTAGAGTGTGGGTGAGAATAAAACAAGGGCCAAAAAAGCCCTATGAGGATAGAGAGAGATAGTTACAAATTCAACTTCAATAACCTAAAACCAATGATCAAAGAAAACTGAATCCCCTTGTTTTAACAAAGGACATGATAAACTAGCATGTACATTATTTATTCATTCATTTGTTTATGGCTCAGTCCCTTTATTAATCTGGGGTCGCCACAGCAAAATGAACTGCCAACTAATCCAGCATATGTACACTCTTCACACACATCCACTACGGACAATTTTAGCTTATGCGATTCACCTATACCATATGTTTTCGGACTTGTGGGGGAAACCGAAGCACCCGGAGGAAACCCATGCAAACATGGGGAGAACATGCAATAAACTTGCATATCAGATAACTAAATCAAACTCGCATAGTTTTTTGTCTGAGGCTTACACAGTGTGTGCTGGCCTGGAAGTTTCTTGATGAGTGTTCTATTCCCAGTAATCTCCCCTATGCCCTAGTCATTTAGAACATGCTAACATTCAAACTTGGAATGATAAAAAAAAACATTAAAATCATTTTCCTAGGTGTCATTTGCTTTTTCCAAGTATTTTTACAGTTTAGTTTTAGAGATCTTTGTGTTTACAATTGGGCTCCCTTCACAGTGCACTTTGAAAACATTGATGTTATTTTGAACACAGCCGAAAGGAGTTTATGTTACATCTCCAAAGCTAGTATATTTTTTACAGTCATTGCTCTAAAGCTTGTGAAAACAAAAAACATACCATACATTAATGCTTTTATTTTATAGTAGGTTATTTATTAAGAAATGTACCCAACTGTATATGACACGGGGCTGTTGGTTAGAACATTTCCGTAGTGGTTTGCATGTGTCAAATTGTAAAAATAGACTTTTAAAAAATGTACAAATAATATCCTAATAATAATTATAGTAATATTAATAGTAATAATAATTATTAATAATATTAATATGATTATTAAAGTATGATTTTGTTCATTTCCTAATGCATAATAAATATAAAATTTTATTTCTTAATAAATAGCCTCATTATTTATTTATTTATTTATTTATATGATTTATATACGAGATTAGAATATGTGTTAGCTTTTGTAAGGAATTTTATGTTTTAGAATAGAATATGTAATGTTCTCAACAATACTTGTTAAGGAAACACAGGCCCTATATGGCCATTTGCATATATTTCAATTATTGTAGACAGCGAGTGCATGTTTTTACCAAATCTAATATTCGATTTTTTTTTTTATGCATGTGCTTGTAAAACAATATAATTTGCACAAAGAAATTATGGGGTTTCCTGTAAAGAAGTAGTTACTCCACCCCGTTTAGAACATCATTATGGGCGTTTTACGTGGTAACTACGTGGTTCAAACAATAATCTGCGACGGAGAAACTACTGGCTTTGGGAAACAAAAAGCCAGTACTTTATCGTTCTTTTTCCATGATGCATCGTACTATGATAGTTCAGCCACGAGCTATGCCGTTGTTTGGGGAACACACCCCGGATCAGCATTCCAGCTAGGTTATGAGTTGAAATTGTCCAGAATAGAGACTTGGCTTAAAATTTCTGAACAGTTGTAGAGACCGGAGCCTGGCCTCAGCTTGAGCGAGGCTTAAAGCCTGGGTCATATTTTGAATGAACCGAATGAAGAGTTGAATGACGTAAAGAGACGAGAGAGGTCTAAGGACTTAGAGACCGTGAACTTGTTGTTCAGTTCGTTATATAGGTTTGCTGATGTCATGAACTCAGGGGTTGAGTTAGCCAATGGGATGTTGCCTTCTAGCCAGTTTTGTTGCTCTTTGTTTTAGGCTTGTAATTTACATGTGCTTGGTGAGCATTTTCCATAGAGAAGTTTTAAAGATTTTATAATGTCAACGTTTTGCAAGTACCAATATACATAGCATACGGTTGTTCTCTAAACCACCTTAGCCGTGCATACATATCAAACACTTATGTGATGGTATTTCAGTCCAAGTTATTAAGCAATACTTCTAAGGGTTTTAATACCAAATACTTCTATAAATCATCAATAAACACTATTTAGCACAGACATAGCAGTCTACCTGTGAACAGGAACATGAACATAGACACACGACAACATTACCTACACTCTAGAATATAGAAATAGCTATTAAAGAAAGGGTCCATTTCTTTTCACGTGTGCGTGTGAAAGTCTTTAAAGCTCGCCTATCAAGATTGTTACCATGGCAACTCGGCGCTTGGGTATGTGGCATGTGACCTCCCGGTGGGGTGGGTTTCTAGGGGCTGCTTAAAAAGTTTATGCAAAAATGAGATGCGTCTGTTTGATCGTCCTCCATTCGTTACATAAGGAATTACGAATTAGAAAAACTTCAAAAAGTTGAAACGTCGAAAAGTTCATCTGACTTCCTGAACATTTCAAAACACAATTTTGTAACTTATGAACCCAGAAAGCTTACATGAACAAAGGAGAAAAAACTGAAAAATAAAAATAATAATTGAAAAGGAGCAGCAGGGTTTAGATTAGTGTAAAGATAAAACAGATCAAGCAATATATTGTAGAACTATTTTACCATTGTTAAATCTCAAAAGACTCCAAATATTCTTTCCACGTACTCCATAAAATAGCTTTAGTTTTAAAGAGAAAGTAAGAGTTAAAATTGGATTTTGATCTTTAAAAATTTGCATTTTTATTGAACTGATTCTGAAAGTGTTTTGAAGGAGCTGCTCTTCTGTCTCTCTGCTCCAGGACTCTGCAGGCCGCTCAAAAGTGCGTGAGCAGCAGTTCACGCTGGAGGAAGAGCTCACTCCCAGCTTCGGCTTCGTGCAGTCCTTTATCCTCCTCACAGACCACTACATACTGGTAGGAAAATGAAACCAATCACACCAAGCAAATAGTTTATTTCACACGTCACTTACATTGCCACAGTGTCACAATTCATACTTTTATTATGATTTTTTTCCAGTTTAATTCTTTAACTTCCACTCTCAAGTATTTTTTGACCAGTTTCTCTGGGTGAATTGGGTTTCTGACATCACATTAAGCAAATTTTGAGTAACACGATCGGCAGCTGGCTGTCTGCAATTCTCACATGGTCGCCCACTGAAGCTAAGCAGGGCTGAGCCTGGTCAGTACCTGGATGGGAGACCACATGAGAAAGCCAGATTGCTGCCGGAAGTGATGTTAGTGAGGCCAGCAGGGGGCGCTCAACCTGCAGTCTGTGTGGGTCCTAACGCCCCAGTATAGTGAAGGGGACTCTATTCTGTCAGTGAGCGCCGTCTTTCGGATGAGAGTCCTGACTCTATGTGGTTGTTAAAAATCCCAGGATGTCCTTCGAAAGAAAGTAAGGCAAGTTTATTTATATAGCACATTTCATACACAGTGGCAATTCAAAAATGAGTAAAAAAAAACATAAAAACGGGTAAAATGTGAAATAAAAGAATGAAGAAGAAGAAAAAAACATAATAGTGCAATCTGTCAGACGCAGCACTGTGCTTATTCAGTAAAGGCACAGCTAAACAGATGTGTTTTCAGTCTTGATTTGAATGTGCCTAATGTTGGAGCACATCTGATCATTTCTGGAAGCTGATTCCAGCAGCGAGGGGCATAGTGGCTGAAGGCTGATTCACCCTGCTTTGACTGAACTCTTGGAACTTCTAGTTTATATGATCCTAATGATCTGAGTGATCTTTTGGGTAGGGTTTTACCCTGGCATCCTGGCCAAATGTGCCCACTGGCCTCTGTCCATCATGGCCTCCTAACCATCCCTACTTGAATATTCATCTGTGCTTCACATTAAACTATAGAACGGCTTCAGAACATTTGGGATATATTAGGCCTACATGACAACTTTCTAGTGCCTTGTAATAGGCTTGATGGCTTTGGTTGGCTTATACATTACACATATATAGCACACGCGCAAGATTGGATTTGGATCGGTACCAGCTGGCCGATACCCGATCCAGCAAAAATATGCAGTACCGAACCAATATATGATCCAAGTATTATTTTCGGTTTATCCCTATTTTTACACAATCGATTTATGTGACAACATGAAGGAATTAAGTTAACTTCTTAGTTTTTGGACTTGACATAAAACAATAAAGTTGTCCCAATGAAATCTTAAAAATTGTATTTCAGCTCATTTTAAACAAATCTATTCTGTTTTTTGTGTGTATATGAACATGTTTTGCATTTATTTTCCTCCGGTTTTAATTTTTTTTTCTGGAAAATCTAGGTATTAAATATGCAGCAACTATAGTTTCTGGTGGGAAAATATGTTGTATTTTAATCAATAGTTTGAATGGGTGGAGAACATTTGGCGTTCTAAAAGCAACTGCATTCAACAGATCACATGCATATATGATAAACAGATAAACATCACATGCATCTAATAGCCATGCTTCATTTCCACAGGCACGGATCGCTTTCGTAGTAATAGTTTTACTAAACCTTGGTGGGCTTGTACTCTTCAGATTTATGCCAGTCTCTTCAACAAGAGGTATTTCAGTTGTTCTAGCTTAAATAAAAAAGCCTGTTCTGCCTTTATAATCCAAAATGTATGGTCATCATAAAGCACAACTGACTCTTGACCATTCAACAGGACTGTCCTCTCAAGCCTGGATGTCCCTGCATCTGGTCAGCAAGAGCAACGTGTTCTTCTACACTCTGCTGCTGTTCAATCTGTGTACAGCATTAGGTAAGAGAATAGTGACTTTCACTTCCACTGCAGGGGAGATTTAATCATTTCATACTGAAAAAGAGAGTATTGTGGTTCATTTGGAAACATTCAGAAGAAAGAATGAATGATAGATAATGAGATAATTATTATATTATAAATAATTGCTGCTTAGTTTTTCTAAATGCCTTTATACAACCCTTGAGCTTGGGGGTGTAATTAATCTGATAAAATTATTAACTAAAAATAAACTGGTAAGTGCGCTGATTACAGCATGTAGTTTTGGTCACCGTTTATTGCGGAAATAGAAATCATTCACATTTGATATTCATAAGTTGCCAATAATAGGTATGTTGTTTAATGTCAGGCATATCAACGTAATCATTCACTTTTCCAAAGTCAGTGTTTTCAGGAGCTTAAAATATGGTAAATTAATTGTCATAATGTAGAACCTGTTTTTAGGTTTTAGTTAACAACGTTGAGTAAAGAGCCCTTAAATGAGCCATATATAAACCCATATATACAATTAAAGACAAAATTATTAGCCCTCCTGTGATTTATTTATTTATTTATTTATTTTATAAATATTTCTCAAATGATGTTTAACAGAACAAGGAAATTTTGAAAGTATGTCTGATAATATTTTTTCTTCTGTAGAAAGTCTTATTGGTTTTATTTCAGCTACAATAAATCAGTTTTTAATTTGAAAGCAAACAAAAAAAAAAACATTTTAGGGTCAATATTATTAGCCCCCTTAAGCAATATTTTTTTTGTTAAAGTACAATGACTTGCCTAATTACCCTAACTTGCCTTTAAATGTCACTTTAAGCTGAATACTAGTATCTTGAATCTAGTAAAATATTATGCGCTGTCATCATGGCAAAGATAAAAGAAATCCGTTCAGAGATTAGTTATTGAATCGATTATGTTTAGGAATGTGTTGTCTGGCGCCAACTGTATGAATATGTGTTTGTATGGATGTTTGTTTATGTATTACTTATTTTATTTGTATTCATTTATTTATTTATTTTGCACTTTACAGTCTCACAAATCTAGCTTTTACATTCATATCTTTAAAGAGGAAACTATTCAATATTATGTTTGTGCATGTACATTAGATGAGTCAGTACTAAAGCCAAATCTGGAGATAATCTAACAAAATAACTTAGGATAACCGTCCCAAAAATATTAAATACAAATTTTAAAGAGATTAATAAAAAATCAAGAGAAACAAAAAATATGTAAATTTTTGTAAAAAAATTGTAGTTGGTAAATTTTATTTTTATTTTTTGCAGTATTTTGATTGAATTTAATTGCATAATCATTCTATTTCTAAAGTTGTTCGGTGATTAAAATATATCTGTTATTAATATACTATTAAGATGTTAATATATACTATTATATACTATTATTATACTATTATTATATACTGATATACTATTAATATATATCTGTCATTAAAATACTATTACTATTAGTATATACATGTTATTAATATACTCTTAATATATACATGTTATTAATACAATATGACTATTATTAATGTTTCATATATATATATATATATATATATATATATATATATATATATATATATATATATATATATATATATATATACACACACACATACATATATACATACATATATACATACACACGAAGAGTCTCAAAAACACATTTGTATGAGGAACTAAATTCTTTCACCATTTCTTCACATCTACAGCTGACGTCAGAACAGCAGAAACAAGTTGTTACTACACCAATGTCACTTTAGAGCTAGTGTTTGAATGATTCTGTAGCGTAATGTTTAAAATGATGACAAAACAGGGATTTTCAGGACATTTTAAGATCATAAGGTGGAACGGAATAAAATGTCATTAGTCTACACTGATTTTGCTGTATTTCTATGTTGCAATCAGGAGATCACAATAATTAACCCCGAAAAAGTCAAAGCAACTCATTCACCACCAGATTACTTTGGTATAAATACAGTGCTACAAACAAAAGAGAGCGACTTAGAATGTCACTTACCTGTTTTGTAATGATTTAATCAGCTGTAATTGACATTTAAAACTCAGTAATTTGAGTTTTTCATCCCTAAGAATTTTATTATGCGCCATCTTATGGTGGAATGTCAACCGTCTTTGCTCTGCTCAGTATGACAGGATGATGGAAGCCGACTCGCTAAATCTCAAAATTTTAAATATTTTAAAATAGGCACTATCCTTATAAATATGAATAATGCAGAAGTAATACAGGCTGTACAAGTGCTGTTATTGCAGAATATCACACAACTATCAGCCAATCAGATTCGAGAATCAGACAGAACTGTTGTATAAATGATGTAAAAAATGTATAAATTGCATTCATACAACAGTTTGACGGCACAATCTTGTACATAAAAAAGAATATCAAACACAGAGAGTCTAAAACCCTTTTGTATTAGAAACTACTTTCTTCCGCCATTCATTCATGCTTCTTATTGACTCTATCCGGTCCACCTTAAAAACCACGAGCTTTTTTTCGCGCTCAAGAGAACACACTGAGCAAGGGCTTATTATGCGGTTCTGGCGTCATCTTGTGGATAGACAACATAAATCGTCTTTGGCCACCAACGAGCTTTTAGAAATTGTAAATATTTTAAAAATGGCACTATTATTACAAAGAAACTGCATATTTGCAATCTAAACCACTACATTCTCGACTAAAGCCTTAAAATTACATTTTGTCTAACAAAAGTAATATTTGTCAAACTATAGCCTGCTTGTTGCCAGGGGCGCCCCCAAGGGGTGGCCAGGGGTGGCCACGGCCACCCCTCGGTAAACTCTGGCCACCCCTGTGGCCACCCCAATATAATTTTGCTGTTGACATTATTGATTTAAATGTACTTATAAATCCCCAATGTTTAAATAAATGAAATGCAGCTACTAAATTATTGTTGGTGTTACTGACGTAGCTGATTCATTGTCTCTCCCCCTTAGTGCTGGTTCAATGCTGAATGCTGGTTAAAGCAAACTGATGCATGCGCGCAGAAAACCATTCCCACGCGCCTCGCGCACTCCTGTGTGAATCCCGGTTGGTTGTTTGCATGCACGCCGACAAAATACGCGCCGCGAAACGGAGTAATAGCCTATTGTGTAGAGGTGAAAGTCGACTAAAGTTTATATAATATGATGATGATGATGATGATGTTACTTTCACTAAGCATGCCTTTAAAGCAGGAAGGAGAGATAAGGAGTCAGGGAGGTAAGACTTCATAACATGAGTTCGCCCAGGGTGTCATTTAAACTAGAACCGCCACTACCCTTCCAGATCGTCGTTGACAGCACGCACACACCTTCAATAGACAGCAATGGCAATTTAATATTTACCTTAAGATACAGTATATGAATAGAAGAAGCTGCATTAATAAAATGGCTCAAAAAGCAATATGGATAAATAATATTATTAGGTATAGTGAGTGTGTATAGTAATGCCTTTTGTTCAGTTTGTTCATTTATTTGGGTTATTAATAAACTCATTATTTTTTCATTCATTTTCTTTTTGGCTTAGTCCCTTTATTAATCCAGGGTCGCCCCAGTGGAATGAACTGCCAACTTATCTAGCACATTTTTACACAGTGGATGCCCTTCCAGCTGCAACCCATCTCTGGGAATAATAAACTCATTAATCTTCATTAATTTTAGACATGGCATATACCGTATGATGTACAATAAAAGCACGTAAAAAGTTATTTATACAGTATATATATGAAGTGTTTTTAAACTAAACATAGATTTTTATTTGGTTTGCACATGTACTTCCTGAATTACTTCAAGGAATAAATAGCAATATTTCAAGAAGAATTAATTAAATGAATAAAAACTACATTATTACATTTACCAAAAACACAAATATAACATTAAACTGAATTCAGATTTTTTTGCCACCCCAAGATTTGGTGCGGCCTCTTCTGGCCACCCCTAAGAAAATTTTCTGGGGGCGCCACTGCTTGTTGCTTGCTGTATGTGGGCGGAGTAATACACAGAGGTAAAGGGTGAAGAGGCCTTTGTGTGATGTTACTGGCAAAATATTGCATGGCTATCAGCCAATCAGATTCAAGAACCAGACAGAACTGTTATATAAATAAATATATACTATAGATTCATAAATGTATCGGTTTTGTTCAAATGCACCAAAATATATGACCTATATACACTGAGAAATACATGAAAATAGTGTTTTGTTTCTGGATTTTCAGGTCCGTGGTTCATTGGGGAGGTCATTGATGGACACATTGGCGTCTGCTTTGCTTTCGGTGTGTTTGTGGATGGGCATTTCCTTGAAGGCAGCCTGACGTATGTTGTGGGATTCATTCAGGTAATTCAAGATTTAACGTTGGAAACAGTGAACCTGTTCTCATCCAGAACTGGTTATGTTTCCTGAACAATACAGGAACCCGAATACTTGAGTTTCAGAAAACGATCTGGAGTGGCGTGTGGGCGCTAGGAATGCAATCTTAAAAGTCATTACGAAACAAACGTTTGATTGTCTTTTCTTCCCAGCTGTGACGGCTATCTGACTGAAAAAGCTTATCGAACAAGAAGAAATGTAGTGTTGAACTCCATTTTGTCTTTTGGGAATTGATTTGATCATTTGCTTTTGCTTTATTGGTGGACTACATGTCTGGACAAACACTAAAAATACAATGATCAGAAATGATATGTATTGCTGGTGAAACTAGGATATCATTCCAATTTGACTTGAAACTAGCCTAAAATATAAATAGTGTTCTGCTGCTTTGTTTTTTATGTGAACTAACCCTTTTAATACCAGTTGTGAATGATAATGCGTCTCACTGCTGTCCAGATGAACATGGGACAACATAAAAACTCTGGCCGGGGTGAGGACTTTCTGAACTCTGGTTCTTGTTTGGCCACTAAACTGAAGTTTTTTCCTCATGACATCAGTGTGCATGCTGTTTTCTCCTCTTTGGTTGGCCAACTAGTTCACACCAAACACGAATTTCATGAGTTGAATTTCATGTTTGCCGCAAACCGGTTGCGCGTTCCACGTCTTTAGCTCTTATTTTCATTTGTTTGTAATTTACTAGCATTAATAGTCAAGTGACCACTTGTGATTGGATCACTGAGACTTTGATAACATTTTATTACACTTGTTAACAAAATATAATTTATAAAGGATAGTTTAAGGGACGAAGCCTGTTATTATGGCAAACGTATGGGGTTTTAACACAACACTGTGCTTTAGATACAAATGTTTTCAGGTCAGTTTCAAAGTAGGTTTACTGGAAAGTACAGCGCATCCAGAAAGTATTCATAGCGCTGCACTTTTTCCACATTTTTTATGTTACAGCCTTATTCTAAAATGGACTAAATTCATTTATTTCAAAATCCTTAAAATTCTACACACAATACCCTATAATGACAATGTGAACAAAGATTTTTTGAAATTGTTGCATATTTATTAAAAATAAAAAAGCTGAAAAATCACATGTACTTAAGTATTCACAACCTTTGCCGTGAAGCTATAAATTGAGCTCAGATACATTCTGTTTCCACTGATCATTCTTGAGATGTTTCAGCAGCTCAATTGGAGTTCACCTGTGGTAAATCACCTGTCTATATAAGGTCCCAGGGTTGACAGTGCATGTCAAAGCACAAACCAAGCATGAAGACAAAGGAATTGTCTGTAGACCTCCGAGACAGGATTGTCTCAAGGCACAAGGATGGGGAAGGTTACAGAAAAATTTCTGCTGCTCTCAAAGTTCCAATGAGCACACTAGCCTCCATAATCCGTAAGTGGAAGATGTTTGGAACCACCAAGACTCTTCCTAGAGCTGAGTGATTGGGGGAGAAGGGCCTTAGTCAGGGAGGTGATCAATAACCCAATGGTCACTCTGTCTGAGCTCCAGCGTTCTTCTGTGGAGAGAGGAAAACCTTACAGAAGGACAACCATCTGTGCAGCAATCCACCAATCTGGCCTGTATGGTAGAGTGGAGAGACGGAAGCCAATCCCCGTCTGGAATTTGCCAAAAGTCATCTGAAGGAGTCTCAGACCATAAGAAACTAAAGTCTGTGCTCTGATGAGAATAAAATTGAACTCTTTGGAGTGAATGCCAGGCGTTACGTTTGAAGGAAACCAGGCACAGCTCATCACCAGACTAAAATCATCCCTACAGTGTAGAATGGTGAAGGCAACATCATGCTGCGGGAATGTTTTTCAGCCGTAGGAACTGGAAGACTAGTCATGATAGAGGGAAAGATGAATGCAGCAATGTACAGAGGCATCCTAAATAAAAACCTGCTTAAGTATGCTCTTGACCTCAGACTGGGGCGACGGTTCATCTTCCAGCAGGACAATGACCCAAAGCACACCGCCAAAATATCAATGTGGCTTCACAACAACTCGGTGAATGTCCTTGAGTGGCCCAGTCAGAGCCCAGAACTAAATCCTATTGAACCTCTCTGGAGAGATCTGAAAATGGCTGTACACCGTCGCTTCCAATCTAACCTGATAGAGCTTGAGAGGTACTGCAAAGAGGAATGGGCAAAAATTCCCAAAGACAAGTGTGCAAAGCTTGTGCCATCATATTCAAAAAGACTGTAAAAAGAGGCTGTAATTGCTGCCAAAGGAGCACCAACAAAGTATTGAGCAAAGACTGTGAAGATTTATGTACATTATTTTTCAGGTTTTCTATTTTAAGAAATTTTCAACAATTTAAAAAAAATCTTTGTTCACATTGTCATCATGGGGTATTGTGTGTAGAATTTTGAGTAAATAAATGAATTTAATGCATTTTGGATTAAGGCTGTAACAAACAAATGTGGAAAAAGTGAAGCGCTATGAATACTTTCCCCATGCGCTGTATATTGTCAAACCAACTTTTATTTTGGATTTGATTAATCAGGATTAATCTCCTAGCACTACTGAAAACATGTTAACACTAGGTGGAAATGTACTTCGATTATACATCATAATAGGGAGAACTATCAAAAATGAATGTCTATATGATGTGAAATGGAATCGAAATCAAAGCAACTGCAATCAGCGAATGCCCAATTACAACCATCATATAACAAGGCGTGTTTCACCCACAGGTGCTGTTCTTCAATATGCCCCTCACCTATTACCTCTGCTGGAGTCTCCACCACAGGTGTCGCGGCACCAACTTCCGCTCTCATTTCTGCCGGCCGGGCTGCCGATGGAGGACTCTGGCAGTACACCTCGGCATGCTGGTCCTCATGATCTGGCAGGCCTATTCATGCTACTTCCTGCTGGAGACCTACGGGTCGCTGGCCTTCTTCATGTCACCTGTACGCACCTGGGCCCTCCTCATGGGCCTGCTGCTGGTGTACAGGGCATGGTGGGGGAAACCCCTGCGCTTCTCCGATGGCAGCAAAACCAACCGGCCGTTGTGACGGTGACCGATTCACCTCGTCTGTATCGTTGTGCCGGGCGTTGTTTTGTGCCAAACTCTTCCCTCCTTTCGACAGATTTCCATTAGAGATATCGAAAATAGTACTTCGTTGTATTGGAGCGATGATGACATCACTAGCGGATGACGGAGCTGTCTGAAAGTTCACTAATACACGTCGGTAGGTTGCCAGTTTCCACCGTTGTGAACCCGAGCAGTTGTGTGAGGTTTATTCCGTTGATAAACTGAGCATTGCGTACTTGTCATATTATGTGTGTTTTTATTTGTGAAGAAGCATCAGGAAAGAAATATGACTGCCTGATATTCGCAATCAATGTTTCTGCATGAAACTGCCACCGTTATCAATATGGATGCTCTCCATGGTTTTAATTAGGGGAAGATGAATCCTTCTTAAGGTTTTATTACACTTGTTGACCAATTATAATATCGGAAAGATCATTTAATGGACGGAGGGTGTCATTATGGCAAATTTAGGGGATGTTTACACAACACTGTGCATTAGTTCAAAATGGAAACCAATGTTTTGTAGGCCTAAAAACAAAACATTTTTCAAAAGAAGGTTTTAAAATGCAGGGTTAAGATTTTTAATCACCACACAAACTACCAAAAATGCAACAATCAAACAATCTATTGCTGTGTGCAAGTCCTAACGGGATGTTCCTACTTATCCGCTTGCTAAGTCTTGGCGTATCGGTGACGTATGAAATTGTTTCCAAATGAGTAGCAGCTTGGACCTGAATAGAGAAAATATTTGTTTACGGCCATGTTTTAAGTCCTATCATAAATAAAATCATGGTAAACAAAACACTCTCTGGACATAAGGCATCACAAATACTAATATTTTAACAGTTTATAAAACATGTATCACTTTCTGGTCATCGGATATTAGGCATGGACGTATATATTGCCATCGTGATTTTCGAAAGTATTACATCGCTTTGTAATCGTTTATTATTACTATTTGTCGAGTCTCCCAAAATAGTTTGATAAAGCACTTGGACCCAGAAGCCGCATCGCATGACGTCACACTTAACAAGCAGATGAGATGACAAGTCGTAATCCGCTTGTTAAGTGTCCAGGCTTCCGGGTCCAAGCGCTTTATTCAACTGAATGGGGAGACTGAAATGGTAATAATAAACTTTTACAAAGCGATTTAATACTTTCGAAAGTCACGATCGCAATATATATGTCCATGCCTAATATCCGATGGCCAGAAAGTGATTCATTGTTTTATAAATTGTTAAAATTTTGGTATTTGTGATGCAGCAAGCCCAGAGATTGTTGTGTACACTATGACTTTATGTAAAATTAACTTTAATGTGTGATAGGAATAAAAAGTGATCATAAACGAATGATTTCTCCACTCCAGTGAATGGCGGCTTGGACCCGAAAACAGTATTACATACGTCACAAACACGTCATCACTTAACAAGCGGATAATGACGTACGGTGCGTTGAAGTCACTTTCGTCATCACAAGATGGCGTTGTACTTGCATTTGATAACATACAAGAAAAAACAGCAGGGATTGTTAACTCTGTTTATAGAACAAAGAATTCGCATGAGTTGCGTTTTGTCACTGATCATCCACAAGAGTCGACATTGCATTAATGAATTTCCGCCCACTGATCAATATCTAATAAGATATATAATTTCATATTTAATTTTCTATTTCAAATCAGTGGTTCTGCCATGTTTCTCACTGACATGCCCACAACTTGGAAAAATTTGATAAATGTTAAGTTTGCCGCTTATACTAACGACTTTTGTAGTGGCGTCATAAAAACGGTTTGTCCGATACCACGAATGCACTAAATGGATGCTTTACAATCAAAACAACAATGGCAGACTGCAGGACTGTGTGTGTGTGTGTGCAGATGCGCACTGGTTCTTTAAAAATTTGACACTGCCCCCTACTGGCCTGGTATGCCTAAAACAGGGTTTTTAGCTGTTTTGTGCTGATCTGTGAGCAGAAATCATTTCGACATTTATAATCTCAATGCAAAGCTTCTATAAAAACACCTAGGCTGACCATAACTAAATGGTTCACCCTAAAATATTTCCAGACATCTTTGAAACACAAATTATTATATATAATTTTTTTACTTCCATTTATTTTTACATATCTGATGTTTTCTGATCGGTGTTCATTTGTAAACGAAAGACCGATTAATATGGATGCCCTCAAATGATTTTAAACTGCACTGCAACTAGAAGAAGATCCATCTTTCTTCACGTCTTTATTACACTTGTTGACAAATTCTAATATATAACATAATTTAATGGATGACAAATTTAGGCGGTGTTTACACAACACTGTGCTTTAATTAAAGTGTTTTGATGGCCTGAAAACAAAATCTTTCTAAATAGGTTTTCAAATTATACTAGTTTCAACTAATGTTCGAAAGGGAAAAACAAAACAAAACTGACATCAGGCACAAACGTTTTATGAGTCCAATCTAGTGCTGTGCTCAAGTCCTCCTGGAACATTCCTATTTTTGAAGCTGAAAAGTCGTTCAAGTCACTTTCGTCATCACGAGATGGCTACTTTTGATAACTTACAAGAAAATTCAAGAGGGGTTGTTGACTTTGCATAGCAGAGGTGCCCAAACTCAGTTCTGGAGGGCCAGTGTCCTCCAAAGTTTAGTTCCATCCCCAAGTAGACACACCTGGGCTGCCTAACCAAGCTCTTACTAGACTTTCTAGAAACATCCGAGCAGGAGTGTTGAGTCAAATTAGAGCTAAAATCTGCAGGACACCAGCCCTCCAGGACTGAGTTTGGGCACCCCTGTGTTATAAAAAATGAAGTGCAAAGAATTCACATCAGTTGTGTTTTGTCACTAATCATCCACAAGAGTCGACTTTGCATCCATAAATTCTGCCCACAGATCTATCTATAACGGTGTATGGTTTTCTATACTAGAGAATTCTACATAATATACTCTACTACAGATCAGCGATTCCGCCGTGTTTCTCTCTGACATGCCCCCAACTTGGAAACTATCGAATTTGCTACTTGTAATAACGACCCTGTAGTGGCGTCTTAAATACGATTTGTCCAATATGACGAATGCACCATATGGTCACAAACAAATTCTTTAAAACCAAAACAACAATGGCAGACTACAGGACTAAATGTGTGCAGATGAACAGTGTTTCTTTACAAATTGACACTGCCCCCTAATGGCCTGGTGTGCTGTTTTTGCAGATTTGTGAGCAACACAGGAACATTGTCATCTAAATGCAAATCTTCTATAAAAACACCTAGGCTGACCATAACCTCCTAGGGCTCGAGTGGCACATATGTGAACAGCACATTTTAGCTCTTAAGTGGCTATTTAAAATACTTTGAATGTTTTATATTTTGTTACAGACATACAGTGCAATACATACTGTTTTGCAGCATATGAAATGTCCCAAACCCTATTTTTAACTGTCCAAAATGTAGTTTTTACTCTCTGATAGTCAAAGCAAGTTAAAAAAAAAATGTTTATGTTATATATGCATTAAAATACAATCCGGATAAAATGTTTTAGGGTAATTCGGACCACGAGTCCATATATGGACATCATTTTTCTCTAAAAGTACATCATATCAAAAGATGATACTTGGGTTTTTATTCTAATTGGGTTTCAATAAGTCCAAATAGCAAAGAGAAATAAAAATGCATGTAAAAAAAAAACACCTTGGGCCTTAAGAGGATGATTAAATAGTTCACCCCAAAATATATCTTTTTAAAATATTCATTTTTGAAACACAAATAAAGAGGTTTTTTTTTGCTTCCTTTGACAATATTTGATGTTTGCTGATTAGTGTTCATATGTAAACAATAGTCTAAATTAAATCAGTCTCTTCTGATCATTGATTAAAGCACTCAATCAACATGTATAACATTTACCATGTCTTTAAAAAATGATCTGAACCAATAAAGGGACATGCTTTTGTCAGGAATGATTTGAATTATCTTCATTTGTGTTTTAAAGATAAAACTCTTATGACAGAACTTGATTTTTTGACTAAATGAATCATTAATCGGTTAAATTAATCAACAAACCTTGAAGTTGACACACAAATGCAAAGTCGACCTCCTCCCTGACCCAGTTTTACCTTGCAGTGCGAAAAGCCAATTTTGAACTACAATCTATTATATATAACACATAAAGGACTCTCAAAAGGAAGAAACCACTATATTTATATGGATCTGCATGAATGTAAAACACTTCTTGCACTATAGCCACAGTTATCACAATGACCACTTAATCTAAAGAAATGCTGAAAAGGAAAGCCAATTGTTTATATACACACTGAATAAAACACCGACCACTTGTAAAAGAAAACAATCACAAATCCGTTACACGTTTATTCGAGAATCGGTGTTAAGCAGCTCTTTTATTGTTGTTTTTGTGTACTTGCAAACAAACTAAATACGAACAATGGCCATTTGGACCAGCTTGAAAAGAAATGTCGTGTCGTCATTAAGGACTGACTTTTTTTTTTTGACCCGTAATCCACTTGACAAGAGTTTCTGGTCAATTCCTGTTCAGTCGGGTCACTCAAGGTCTCCGTTGTCTCTCAGGAAAGTGACGACTTCAACAATCGGCTGCTCTCGTCTGTCTTTCAATGACCTGGATGTCATTCTGAGAGAGCCGTGTTGGTGGTTTTTAAGGCACGCGATGGTTGAGAACCAACACTTTTTAGACGATTTACTCAATATGTGTCGATTATAGATTTGTGGTGCACCAATAGGACTTTGAATGTTTGATGAAGAAATGTGAATTTGGTTTTTGCTATTTAATTTATTTGAAGGTATTCATCCACATCGATATTGTAATGTACTGTAATATTCCTTCCAGTTGTTCTGCACTGTTTTATGGGCATTCTCTGTTCTTGTGATCGAGTGTTTTCTTTTTAATTTGACATTTTTGTTGTGGAAGGCACTAAATTAGCTTATTTTCATTGAAGGATAAACACATTTATTATTAAAAATTGGCCTCGCCACACTCAATGTCCAAAGTAAATGGATACATCGTTCAGTTTTACAGCTGGAAATGCTGTTCATCCACGTCACGTTTCTGCACTTCTGAATCATCTTGCATTGGAATTGATTCGTCTGGCTGTGTTTATGTACAACAAAGTAAAGGGGTTTCATATTGTGAATTTCATATTTTGTGCTTTCTTTTATCCTGTAAAGGTGTTATAGGGACTTCCTTTAAAGAAGAAATGATACACATACAACTGTGAGCATGTGTGTTAATTAGGGCTGCAACGTATTGGAATAGTCTCACACTGTGATTATATATTGCAACATAAATAAAATTTCACCAGATAGCTTGAATAGCTCTATTTGGAAAGAATTCATTAATTTAGACTGACTGGGATTATTCTGAAATATTATAGGGATTGTTATTGGTAATATATTAGAGTATTCAGGTACAGAAATTGAAAAAACAAATGTAAAATAGCACTATATAGTCTTCATTGTATAAACAATAATAGAAAAACATATTTCTTAGAGTTACAAACAGTACAGTTTAATGTTTCTGAATACTTTAATATCTCGTGCCTGAATGCTCCATAATGGATAAACCCTTCAGTGACTTCAAAAATCTTCTGTGTTCTGAATTGTGGCTCCTGGTAAACTATAATCCCAGCATATAAACTCAACATTGTGACTATTGTGGATGTGCGATATCGATGCTGAAACAATTTATTGTGCAGTTCTATTGTGAATATAATTATTTTTTTAAATACTAATTAATACTTCTTTAAGTCAAACCTGCATTAAAAGTACAGTAATTACTACTGTTTACTATATATATATTTTTTTGTTCTTATATATAATTTTTCTTATATATTTTATATATATATATATATATATATATATATATATGTTTTTTTATATATATATTTTTTTCTTATATATATATATATATATATATATATATATATATATATATATATATATGTAATGTATATATATATATATATATATATATATATGTATATATATATATATATGTATATATATATATATATATATATATATGTGTATGTGTATATATATATATATATATATATATATATATATATATATATATATATATATATATATATATTGAATATTTATGGTTTCACAGTTATCACATCTAATGTAAATGGCTCCGCTTGTGCGCACATATTGGCAAATATTCTTACATTGGAAATAACGAACTTGCGCGTGGAAAAGACATGATATGTGAAAGGCACAGGACTTTAAAGTAGCGCACAGGTGGCACAACTTTGTTTAGTTGCAGCAGTTTCGTTCATTGCAACAAAAACGCACGAAGAGAAACCTTTACGAATGAGTATCCAAACATTTTCGGCTGCTCGCTCCACTCGCTTAATGTCACTTGACTCACTCTCTGCCTATCTGACTACTCTCTGACTTTTCACCAATCAGATTTAAGACCCAGGCAGAACCGTTGTACAAATGAAAATACAAAATCATCCTAATAATAATTGTATTAATATTATATTTGTGCTGCATACTTTTGATCAAATAAATGCAGGCATTGTGCATTAGAGACTTATTTAAAAGTGTACACTTTTGTTAGTCTGTCCAATACTCTAATAAATAGTTATTCTTATTAAACTATTCCTAAACCAGGTTTATTTAGTTTATTACACACTCAAATTTGAATAATTATGGAAAAAATTTATAATTTACAAGTAATTATCAATCACCATTGGTAAATAATTACTAACCATTGTTAAAAATGATTTGAAACTAGGCAAAGGAATCTGTTGTCTTTATCCACAGTTACCTCTAGCACACTTAAAGGGACAGTCCCACAGGAGGAACTTCATGTGTCTTTTCGAAGGACTCCTTTCTCATAGACTTTCAGGTTTAACAGCAGACCACCTCCAGAAGGCCTCTTGCTGCAGACGTCTGACTCAGTCTGAAATTTTGACAACTTGTTTACCGATATTGCCTCCGGTCATCATGGAGCAGAACGCTTCTGAAATGTGCATACAATAAACAATGAGGGTTCATACAATATGTATGAAAAGCACACATCCATACTAGTGAAAATAATGAGCCCTCACCTCCCATGTTTTGGATGCCATTCACAACAGTTTCCAACACCTGTAAAACGAAGAGAAATTGGACATATGAAAGGTTTATGAGGTTTCATGCACTCAAAAAAATGAGTAGACCTGTTGCCTTAAAATTTAAGTAAATGAATTATGTGCGTTTCCCAGGACTGTCAGGCATCCACTGTGTAAAACATATGCCGGAATAGTTGGCGGCTCATTCCGCTGTGGCGACCCCTGATATACAAGCTAAAGGAAAATGAATAAATTATGTGCGTAAAGTTAAACCAACTTAACAGTTCCAAGCTACAATGATTTTACTTACTTTTTAAACTAAAGCCAACATGTCACTTTTAAGGCAATGGGTTTACTCCATTTTTTAAGCTAAGTAAGCTACAGTGGGGACATTTACCTTTATCTGGCCTGTTTTTACCCAGTGGCTGAGCTGCATGAGGCCTTCTGCATGTTTCTCCATGTAGTTCAACACAATAAATCTCTCCCTGTGAACACATAGTTGTGCACATCACATGTCCATAAAGACGTACAGTTGCACTCACTGGCCACTTTATTAGGTACACCTGTTTAGCTGCTTATAAATGTAAATATTTAAGCAGCCAATCACATAAAGCTACTCAGTGCATTTAGGCATTAGATGTTGTCACGATGAAATGTTGAAGATTTAATTGAGCATCAGAATGAGAAACAAGGTAAAGTGAAATACCTGTGATGACTGAAACTCATAGTTAAGTAACTCAATTCAAGACTTTAACGTTTATCTTGGTAAGTTTTGTTGTCCAGCTTGTCAGATAGCTTTATGGAAAGCAAGAAGCCACAGTGAGAACTGTGTATGGTGATACGGAGTGGTTCAAGATCTGCATTGTATTGCCACCACTCTTCAACCTCATAAGAAAAGCACTAACAGCAGACATCGAAAGCGGACTGAAAATTGGCAGCAGAAACATCAACAATCTTAGATATGAAGATAAAACCACCCTACTGGCCGAAAGCAGAGATGTGGAGTGACTCATCCTGAAAGTGAGACATGTGGGGTTGTGCCTGAACATTACAAAGAGGAAGGTGAGGACGACCTCTGAGAATGGAAGATGCAGCATAAAGATCCCCAGTACTGGACTTTATATTCCTTTGTTCCATGATTGACCGAAATGGGGACACAAAACCTAAAATCAAGACACGGTTAACCATGGATAGAATGCAATGGTGAGCATGAATGAAATCTGGAAAAGTAAGGATATCAGCACTGGAACTAAAGCAAGGCTAGTCTTCCCCATAGCAACTTATGGCTGCGAGACCTGGACGATCAAGAAGACAGGGAGAAGAAAGACTGACACCAACGAATTGCTGAAGGAGACTGTTGCACACCCTGTGGTCAGAGAGACTCACCAACAAAGTCCCAGGGGGCATCAAGCCAAACACCTCGCTGGAAGCCAAAATTCATTCATTCATTTTCTTGTCGGCTTAGTCCCTTTATTAATCCGGGGTCGCCACAGTGGAATGAACTGCTAACTTATCCAGCAAGCTTTTTTTCACGCAGCGGATGCGCTTCCAGCCTCAACCCATCTCTGGGAACATCCACACACACATTCACACACACACTCATACACTACGGACAATTTAGCCTACCCAATTCACCTGTACTGCATGTCCTTGGACTGTGGGGGAAACCAGAGCACCCAGAGGAAACCCACGCGAAGGCAGGGAGAACATGCAAACTCCACACAGAAACACCAACCGAGCCGAGGTTCGAACCAGCGACCTTCTTGCTGTAAGACGACAGCACTACCTACTGCGCCACTGCCTCGCCAGAAGCCAAAATTACCAAGCAGAAATGATCCTATTTTGGCCATGACATGTGTAGCAATTCACTCGAGAAGGCAGTCATGCTGGGAATGGTCCGTTGAAGTAGGAGGAAAGGCTGCCCAAGATCTTGTTGGCTCGATACTGTCAAATCTGATAAAAAACATAAGCTTGCATGAACTCAAAGAAGCGATGATTAGTTGAACTGTGAGAGGAGAATGATCCACATAATGACCGAAAATTGACCTCGGTTGAATGGATAATTGATTGATTAAAGTTTGGTTGAACGTTCTTATTAAAACAGACCCCAGATCAGCTAGCAGAACTGAGTTCTAAATTCACACAACTCATCAAGTTCATTCAACAGCAGATTGACAAGCTTTACTGTACTTTACTGCAGGTATATATGAGCAATATCACACTCGTAGCAGTGCGATATGGCTGGCAGGAGGCATGCGTTATCAGGAGGTTGCAGGCCAACCAGTGCCGATATACAGCCATATCGCACTGCTACGAGTGTGATATCGCATTTATACAACAGTTTGACGGCATAATTGTGTTTATAAAAACAAAATCAAACATGGAGAGTCTCAAAAACACTTTTGTTTGAGGAACTACTTTCTTCCGCCTAGATTCAAATCATAAGCTGACAGTTAAACAGCTGAGCGTGCATCTTTTAAACTTTAGATCTGTAGTGTCTGCTTTTTGCTGGCTGTATGTGGGCGGAGTAATACACAAAGGATAAATAGGCTGTACGGGTGCTGATATTACTTAAATATATCACGGCTATCAGCCAATCAGATTCGAGAACCACACAGAACTGCTGTATAATTATTTACATTAACTTCAACTGTTAAAAGCTATTAGAGTTATGAGTAACTAATAAAGTTATGGTAATAAGCTTAACCTTTCTAAATTTGACTGTAATACAATAACATGCACTCTTTGCAATGCTGCTTAGAATCGTTATTGTGAAAAGGGCTATACAAATAAACTTGAATTAAATTTTCCCTGATCGGATGAGTCTTGATTTCGGCTGTGACGTTCAGATGAACATAAAACGAAGCCATTTCTGAAAATAGTCCAGCAACCTGGCTGTACCTAATAAAGTGGCCACTGTACAAAACTGTATTCTTGAAAGCATACTTCTAGAAAGCACTTCTAGTACCTTGTGATGTTGTTACGACGCAAAGCTTCTTGGGTATCTTGACTTAAAGGAGGAGGGTAAGGCACATCCTTGTTGTACTGCGAGATTTGGCCGCACAGGATCACATGAGCACCGGGATTCATCTGCAGTGTAAATATTGCACAGTAACAGATAGGACTCATATAAACTGGCATAAAGAGTGTTGTATGAAGGCAAAACAAATTGTGCCGGCTGTACCTGTGATATAACAGCATCGCTGATGGGGCCGCCTACATTGTCAAAGTAAATATCAATGCCTCTGGGGCAATGCTCTCTCAGCGCTGAGCTGACGTCTCCGTTTCTGTAGTTTATCCCTGCTGTAAATCCCAGCTCTTTTACCAAGGTCTGACATTTTTGGTCAGAGCCGCAAATCCCCACGACTGTCTTACAACCATCCAATCGGCCAATCTAAACGCACAATAGAGGGCACGCTTAAAATCCAGAGCTATATATATAGTATGGGAGAAAGTATTGAACACGTCATGTTTTTTCCTAGGAATAACATTTGTAAAGAAGCTGTTGACATGTAATTGAACCAGATTTTGGTAAAAACCGAAACAATACAAACATAAAAACAAAACAAAAATATCTGAGAAATAAGTTATGTGTAGCAACAATGAAATGACACAAGGAGAAAGTGCTGAACTACTGAAATGTATTTCATATTTTATATAGAAGGTTTTTTGTTGATGACAGCATAAATATGACTCTCATATGGAGAATGAAGTCACAAGATTTGCTCAGGTGTGAGTTTTTCAGACTTCAACAGAGTGTAAAAATCTTGATGGTTCTGTGGGTCTTGTTTATAAAATCTGATCTTTATTTTGTCTTCTCTATTGGATTAAATTCAGGTGACTGGCTGGGCCATTCTACAGCTTGATTTTCTTTCTCTGAAAGCACTTGAGAGCTGCCTTGGCTGTGTTTTGGATCATTGTCTTGCTTAAATGTCCACCATTCAATATTAATTCACAATGATGAAGAGCAGAGGGTTGCTGAGATTTCAGCTGCTGTCTGGGCTTTTACTGCCTTTCCACACCTCCCTTTCTTCATGTGTTCAATACTTTTCCCTTGCATCGTTAAATTTAATACACATAATTTATAAAGTCATTAGATTTGTTTTCTTTACATGGATTACTTTGGTTGTTTCCAGGGAAAATTTCAGGTCAGCGTCTCACTGTAGTTGATGGCTAAATAATTAGCCCTACTGTGAAATTGTATCTTTTTTCTTTTTTCAAATATTTGCCAAGTGATGTTTGCAGCGCATCTAACTTTTCACAGTATTTCCTAATATATTTGTATATTCCTTGTTTCTTTTAGTTTGGCTGGCTTTTTACATTTTAAAAAATAATTTTTAATGTCATTATTATTCTACTGGCTACAGAACAAACAACTGCAGTCCAATGACACTAATTGATATTTTAGATTAGTGCCAATTAACCAAACCTGACTAGTTATTCTGTTAACCTAGTAAAATATTATGTACGGTAATCATGGCAAAGAAAAAAACTTATTCCGGTCCTCTGGCCCCCCGCCCTGCATATTTTGTAAGTCTCTCTTAATTGACACACAATGATCAGTTCAAGGATCTCTCTAGCGAGCTAATGATGTGAATCAGGTTTGTTAAGTAAGGTAGACATTGGCTGTTTCTCAATTCCAAGAACACAGAGAACGGATTTGTGTTCTTTGGAAACCGGTCTTGGCAGGTCACCTCAGAAGAACGAACTCGGGAGACGGCACAAACAGAGAACACGTCCTGTGAGAAATGAGATGCTGCGTTCTTCCCTGGTTCATCCTTATGGTCACAAGACCTTCACATGTTTTTAATGAAAAGTTATTTAAACATTTCAGCATTCTTACAACAATTTATTGTTATTCCCCTTTTCACGATATAGACTATGCATAAAGACCTTATAAATATATGTTGCACAATACAAATAAAACTCATTTTAATACAAATTTCAGCAAAAAAGCACCCTGATGTGTTTATTCCTCTATTAGGATTTTCATTATGAATGATTACTTTCACTGTCTCATTTAGGGAAACTCCCGATATAAATAAGTTATACCTCTGAACTTTTTAAAAAATGTTTTATTATTTTTTTAAGGGGTTTTTCACCTTTATTGACAGGACAGTGGAGATTAAAAGACAGGAAAGTATGGGGAGCAAAGAGAGGGGAAATATAGGCAAAGGACCTTGAGCCGGGCATTGAACTTGGGTCACCGCGAGCACATGGGTGCTATATGTTGATGCACTAACCACTAGGCTATTGGCACCGACTATACCTCTGAACTTTAATAATAAATATATATAAATATATATAAAATGCTGAGCTTCCACCTCCTTTATTCAGTCGCAATAACTTCTGGGACTTTTCAAGCGAGTTTTGTGCTCAAGTCTGCATCAGTGCGTCCTCGATATCAAGAACACATCCGGGAACGTTCATGTATCCTCTGTTCTTGTGGTCTTGAGTTACACGAGACGTTACACGAGAACACAGGATCGCTAAAGAATGCATTTTGAGAAATAACTATACAAAATGTGCAGGGCAGAGATTGGGGTAAGGACTGGAATTGAGAACAACTGGTATAACCACTAGTCATTAGCAATCATAATACTTTTTAACGTATATTTTCCTATCAAACTAGGAAAAGATTTATCATTAGAACACCTTTTTTATGCCTAACTGACATTAAGACCTGGATAACCAATAAAATAAATAACTCTGCAACTAAACGAAAATTACACAAGTGTTATTATTCGATCTCGCTGCTACCAATGATTCAAGTAAAACTCAGAGTTTTCATTGATCCACTCTTGCAGTTTGACAAACATGCAGCTGTGAAGAGCAGCTTTTTTCCAGTTTAGATTGGTGGCAAATGTTAAACCATTTCTTTCTAAAAAAAAAGATTTAGAAATTGTAACATACTTTAATCTCCTCTCGGTTAGACTACTGCAACTCTTTGAACATGGGTCTACTTCAGTAAACACTCTCTCGATTACAGTTGGTCCAGAATGCAGCCGCCAGATTATTAACAGGAACTAAGAAAAGAGACCATATCTCCACTGTCCTTGCCTCATTGCACTGGCTTTCTATAATATTTAGAGTTGATTTTAAAATCCTTAAAATCTTATCACTTATAAAGCATTGCACAATTCTGCCCTGGTCTATGTCAGTAAACTTATTAGAACATATATAACTTTTGGGACAGGATTTTTACTCCCTTGCTTTGAGTAACACATGCATGTTATTTCTTATATGTATTATAGGATTACTTAGTAAAGTATATATAGTATTCTTATATTTTTAAATACCATTTTTTTATTATTTTATTTTATTGTAAATCACTTTGGATCAACTACTGTTGTGTAAAATTGTGCTCTAAAAATAAAGTTTGCCTTGCCTTGCCTATAACCCAAAATATTTTACATTTCATTCAATAGTAAAGTCATGCTTGTAGAAAGTTTAGTCAAACTAATATATACATGATTTAAAAAAAGAACAATTTTCCATGACAAAAAAATGAATGTTCTGCCAAACTGCCTTGGCAAACACCACCAACTATTAAAAATCTATTCACAACCACCCTTTTTACCGTCATTTAAAACTTTCAACAGTGAATGAACTCATCTCACTTGTCCATTCTCAGATTACCTGTCCAGCAACTGACCCACAAGCTCCGGCTGCTCCGCTCACGACCATCGTCTGCTGGGCACCTGCAGTCACATGACCCTTCTCTCTCACCCCAAAAAACGCAGTAAGGCCAGGCATGCCCACTGCACCAAGAAAATACGACACATGACCATCCACCATCCCTGGGTCGACCTGCAAGAACAGCACACCTGAGATCCAAACACACTCTACATTGGCTCAAACTGTCCAAAATGACCATCAGACCTTTTGCAAAAGGCTGCCATCCATCACATCGTAGGTTTGCCAATGCCAGTTGAAGGAGGTGACGATGGTGCCCACAGATAAATCCGGATTCTTGCTGGCTTCAACTACACCAACTCCTCCTCCATCCACACACTCCTCCAATCTCCATGGCAACAGGTAGTCAGCTCCAGTATCGTCGTTCATGCGACAGCGCTGCGTTGAGTGTTGGGGTTAATACCGTTTTATCATTGAGTGAATAAGCTAATGTGCCTGTTTTATGCTCATTTTTTTTTCAAGGTCTCCTACAATGTTTACATGCGTTCATGATCTAAAACACTTTGAATTTCTCATAGTACAGCCTACTTTGCAGCACTGCCCCTTTAGCTTGTTTCAGGATTGTATCTTTTCCTTTTGAAAGCCTGCAGTGCTCTGATTGGTCAGATGGCTCAGACGCCGTTTACATTAGGTATGCTAGTTTTTGTTTTGAAACGCATATTATTACAGTTCGGGCGGCGCGGTGGCCCAGTGGGTAGCGCTGTTGCCTCACAGCAAGAAGGTTGCTGGTTCGAGACTTGGCTGGATCATTTGGCATTTCTGTGTGGAGTTTGCATGTTCTCCCTGTGTTCGTGTGGCTTCTATAGGTGAATTGGGTAAGATAAATTGTACCTAGTGTATGGGTGTTTCCCAGAGATGGGTTGCAGCTGGAAGGGCATCCGCTGTGTACAACATATGGATAAGTTGTCGGTTCATTCCGCTATGGCGACCCCAGATTAATAAAGGGACTAAGCCAAAAAGAATATGAATGAATGAATTACTATGGTTACGGTGACTGGCATCCACACTACTCGCATAGCAAAAACTGGGCATTTTTAAAATAAAGATTGCATTTTATTTTGGTATTCATTAGAGACAGAGTGAAATGGGGATGTGGCTACACCCTCAGACATTTGATCACAATTTTGTGGTGACTTACTGGCAGCATTGTTGCCAGCAGTTTACCACAACTGCCCCTTTGCAGTTAATTACTTGTAAATGTGTTTTACAGTAGCAGGGCCCTACCGCAATTTCATTTTGCAGTAAAATAGGCTTACCGCAACTTATTTTTATGGTAAAATGACCTTAACCACATTTGAATTGTACAGTATGACAACTTTACAGTGATTTACTGTCATTTATTTACATTTTACACTGACAGTACAAAAACTTTACTTTTAGTATTTACTATTGAATTTAATAAATTACAAACAAGTGACGAGATCAGTATTTTCATTATTCATTGTTTTTAAATCCATTTTAAACACTGCATTGTGGATAATTTTACAACTTTTTCAATAACTTTCTCATTTTTGTCCTCAACTACAGTAGCAGTGCTTGATTACTTTGATTACAGTAGAATACCGCAAATATGCAGTAAGTTACTGTAAAAGTTTTTAAATTACACACAATGCAGTATATATTACTGTAGTGAACTGTAAAGAGTATTGCTACGTCACAGTTCACATACTTTCCATCCGAAATAGTATTCGAATATAGAATTAGTATGTCCCAAATGAGTGAAAAATGTAATAAACTACAAACATGATGGACACCCGAGACCAACGGTCACGAAGAAAGGCTTCAGTAAAGATGTTTAAATGACTATTAATTAATATCTAGTGTTTACTGTGTTATATTTCATCTGCAACAACATGACTGAACTTATATATAGACATGTTTGGACATTAACGTCTGGCAGATATGACGTGGATGGCAGAATATCCTGCTGCTGCTGCTTCTCCAATAAGGTATTTCAATATGACAGAAATATGGATGATGTGGTGAGATGATTGACAGGGCTTTAAGCAACACAACCATCTGTTAAAGAGTAATTAGTATGCCCGAAAGCTTGCATACTCTCCTGTTACACACTCAAAAGTATATACTTTTCCTTCTCATAAAAGTACATGCAGTACTTTTAAGGAGTAGTATAGGTATGCGTATTGGGACGCAGCATTTATGTGTATGATTTACTGGGCGTTTTTGCTGTAAATAACTGTAAAATTGCGGCAACAGTGTATCCACAATCTATCTCTGAATAGTCTTCTAGACTTTTACGTATTGTTCCCTGATTCCTTACTGCAAGTATGTTTGCTGGAAAAATGCATGTCTGGTGAGCCTGAATGGTCACATAGCACGCATTTTTGGCTGTAGTGTGGAATGAAATAGTTTTTTTCTAAAACGCAGAAGCATTTTTATTAGGTATACGCCAAGCTAGTGTTCCTTCCCATACTGATAAACTTCCGGTGAACAGTTAATGTGATTTTTTCCATTTTATACGGTTCCTTTTACAGCATTGATGTTATAATGTAATTAAAATATAATTAGTTAAATAGACTTTGGCATTCTTTTAGTTGCTCAAGCGTAAAACAAGACAAAAAGTAGTTTACTCGCACACGCCCGTCAGAATCGGCAGGCAAGCAGAGAAGCTCCATTGAATATTACGGGGTAAATTAAATGTTCAAAAAGTTTTCAAGTTTTAAAGACATGGCGGGGGAAAATGTAATTTTATGCAGTGCTTCTAAAAACAACCTGAGATCCACTTTATATCGCATATCACTCAGCCAGGGGAGGTCTGTGATTTTTTCATTTTAATGGCATTCAGTTCACCGAAATCGCTTAACCCAGGTTACTGACAAATTAAAAGTCCTTTAGCATACTTCCACATATACACTATTCTAACAAGCGATTTTAAAATGAAAAGGCGCTAGTGTAAACACAGCCTCACAGTGTGATTGGGTACCTCCTCACCAAAAACTCATATATTTATTTTCCTTCGGCTTAGTCCCTTTATTCATCAGGGGTCGCCACAATGGAATGAACCACCAACTAAACCAGCATATGTTTTACACAATAGATGCCCTTCCAGCTGCAAGCCAGTACTGGGAAACATCCATACACAGTCATTCACACTCATAAACTACGGCCAATTTAGTTTAATCAATTCACCTGTCCTGCATGTCTTTAGACTGTATGGGAAACCCAAGCAAACACGGGGAAAACATGCAAACTCCACACAGAAATGCCAACTTATCCAGCAGACCTTCTTGCTGTGAGGCAACAGTGCTAACCACTGAGCCACCATGTCGAAACCAAAAACTCATTAGTCATGATAATTTTTGGATAAATTTGTGAGCAAAAACTCATCCTTTCAAAGTTGCTTGTAAAAAAACAACAACATAAATGTCTCAACTCTTCCTGGCATAGCTACAAATATTAAAGGGTCAAAGTAGACTTGTTCGTGGCAGCCAGTTAAAACCAAAGGCTGGCTTTATGCAAATTAGTTAATGCAAAAAAAAAAAAAAGCTGAAATTATGGATAAGTAGTTTTAGGCAAGAATCAGTGATTTCATTTTGGACAAAATAACCCTGTTTATCAATATATAAAACATCGGAGGATTATTTGCACGTTCTCCCTGTGTTTGCGTGAGTTTCCTCTGGGTGCTCCGGTTTCCCCCACAAGTCCAAAGACATGCAGTACAGGCGAATTGGGTAAGCTAAATTGTCTGTAGTGTATATGTGTGAATGAGAGTGAATAGGTGTTTTCCAGTGATGGGTTGCGGCTGGAAGGACATCCACTGTGTAAAACATATACTGAATAAGTTGGCGGTTCATTACGCTGTGGCGACCCCAGATTAAGAAAGGGACTAAGGCGAAAAGAAAATGAATGAATGAATAAACACTTAAATCCCCATTAATAATAATAAAAAAATATTATTCTTCATATTTAATTTTATTTTACATAATTATGCAAAAAATCTCATTTTCTGACAAATGTCACATCGTAAAGCAAGTGATTTACTGAATAAAGAATCATTTTGCATGTAAGCATTTTTAAAATGAGGATATGAAAACTGAAACCACAAAAAGAAGTATATATATATATATATATATATATATATATATATATATATATATATATATATATATATATATATGCAGATGGAGCGAGTCACGTCTCACCATGTAAGGGTCAACTGAGAGATAAAGAGTCCGAACCAACACTTGTCCTTCCTTCAGCTCTGATGATGTCGTGGTCTCCTCTACACGGAAATTCTCTTTAACTGGTTGACCACTGTTGCCTATTCATATGCAAAGAAAAAACATGAGTTTTAGACACTGGGCTAATGGGCTACATTTGATTGTTAAAGTTGTGTAAGCTGAACAAAACCTTTAACATTTACCTGGTCGGGAGCTTAACACAACTCTTGTTACATTTAACATTTTCTCTTTTTTATTAACGCTTTTTATATAAAAAATAAATGTCTGTGCAGGACTTGCAAATATTTACAAAGCAACTCCCTTGCTTGCAGAAAGAGTGTTTCTTCCTGAAGTAATCACGTGAGTCCTAGGCGCGCGTCTGATTGGTTGCACGAGAGTTAAAGGGTCGCGTGTTTTTTCACAGAAGAGTTGCAAATCGGTTCTTTTGAATAGTTTGTTTCAGAGAATCGGCTCCTTTTGTTGTACTATATCAAATACAGGTAAAATGCATTTTTATATTTATATTTTTATAAAGAGTTTTTATATCCATATTTATATATAAAATATTTATAAGAATAATTTATATTTTAAAAAATCTAATTATTAAAATACTGTATCCATTTATTCACGTGCTTATTTGAATCAATTATTTGAACTTTATCATAAACTTTACTCCACTTAGCATTTGTTTGTTTATTCAATGTACTATTTATGTATTTCAATTTAAATCCTTATGTCTAAATATTATGCTTAATTTTTATTCATTCATTCTTTTTCTTTTCAGCTTAGTCCCTTTCTTAATCTGGGGTCACCACAGCGGAATGAACCACCAACTTATCCAGCATATGTTTTACACAGCGGATGCCCTTCCAGCTGCAACCCATCACTGGGAAACACACTCATACACTACGGACAATATTAGCATGCTCATTTCACCTACAGCGCATGTCTTTGGAAACCCACGCGAACATGGGGAGAACATGCAAACTCCACAAAGAAATGCCAACTGACCCAGCTGAGACTCGAACCAGCAACCTTCTTGCTGTGAGGCGAGAGAGCCACCCACTGCGCCACTGTGCTGCCCTATGCTAAATTTATTCTTTTAAATTTGTATATATATATATATATATATATATATATATATATTTTTTATTTTTTTTTTACTTTAAATAAAACATTTTATTATATTCTATTAGTAACATTTTAATATATTGTTCTGCTTTACCAAGGTATTTGTTTAAATAAAATACTTTATAATTTACTTTAACATTATTTTGTATCATTAATTTAAAGATTTAATAATTAGCCTAAATTAGTTTTCCTATAAAATAAACAAATAATATAGACCCTAAATAACACTTAAACTCACACATACAACGCTACAATTAAATGCTCACAATAGATTATTAGCTTTTTCAATGCTGTAATAAAATACTTAGCCGCTTATTTTCGGCTCTGCCAGTCAGAGTGGTTGAGATGACTCAAGCACCGCTTAACCTTTTTCCCACGTTTCTATAAACAAATCCAAAAGAGTTTTCTTAAAAAAAAAAAAAAAAAAAAAAAAAAAAAAAAAAAATATATATATATATATATATATATATATATATTCCTTGCAGGATAGTTAATGAAGGTATATTTTCTTACACAATCTTTAAAACAGATTCTTAGCCAGCCCATTGAAAGGGTGTTTCTTTTTTCCTCAAAAAGTGGACCTTTTTGCAGTTATTCACTTCATTTTCGTTGAAATGATGAGGTTCAAATACAGCATTTTAGTCACATTTTAAGCACTAATTTTTACAAGATTAAAACTAAAATGGTCGTATGTATGTGAGTGAATGAGTGTGTGTGGATGTTTCTCAGTACTGTATACTGGATAAGTTGGCAGTTCATTTTGCTGTGGTTTTCCATCCGAATAATCAAAAACTATATTCTCTTAAAGCCTTCTTAATAATTTATGAAGGCATTCAGCCAAAATTGGACAAATGAGCTCTAAATGGCCAAAATCTTGTAGGGGTAATAACATAGTAACAAATCAATTACAAAACGTTCAGCATTAAACCTTGGGGGTTCATAATACAGGTTAGGCAATAATAAATAAATAAATAAATAAATAAATAAATAAATAAATAAATAAATAAATAAATAAATAGGGTTCAGCAAAATAAAAAACTTATGAATGTCCAATGATAATTTTGGGCACAACAATTTTTAAGTAATTTCAGTGAGGAGTAATAGAGTTTAAGGTCAGTCTTTTCACCTACAGCAGTGTATGTGATATTTAGCAAGTAGGAAAACAATATTTACAATGTCTGATATTGACGTATCTACATAAGACAAACTGCTAATTTAAAATGAGCTGAAACAACACAACTCTTGAGACAATTCTTTTTTTCTACAGTGCAATTCATCAACATAAAAGACAATACAGTGGATGTTAAACACAGGGATGTTTGACATTTTTAATGCCAGCCATTCTCTAGAATCACTCCAGAATTTGCATGAAATAGGGCAAGTACAACATAGGTGTAGATTCACAGAAGGAACACTCTGCCTTATCAAATTTAAATCGCTTGTGCACTCAAATTTATTTATTTTTGCTCGTTCAAACTACTTATTTAAAATAAGCTGAAACAACAGAATTCTTGAGGTTTCATTGGGACAACTTAATTCTTTTATGTTCAATCCACATAAATTGGTAAAAATGTTGAGTTTACTTAATCGATTTGTGTTGGGGCAACATGAATGAATTGTGCGGAACCTTGCATTTTTTACAGTGTAGAAAATAAGAAACAGGATAAATCCTGTGACTTTATATGTATTTCTTATTTAACTTACTGTATTTTTTTTCTTCTTTACTGTTTTATCCCCCTGGCATCTTCTATGTTCCTTCTATAGTTCATAATGTTTCATTATGCTGTAATAATTTACTGCTTAATAAAAAAAGCCACATATGATATTAGGGAATTTACATAAACTAAATAAACTTCATTAATATTCATATCTGATCGTAAATCTCCCTTAGCGTTCACTAAGTGTGTCTCCAGACTCCTTGAAGATGCAAGAGAAAACTGACATCAGTTTGCAATTTGCGGCGGGTGGCGCTCTTGTTTCCAACGAGGAAGTGACGCTGCGAGCAAAAAGGCTTAAAGTTTTTTCCCCCTTTTTTCTTCTTGAAAGCAACACGAAAAAGATGCGGATCGCCGGAGCCGCCTCGCAGACACTTTAAAGGTAATGTAATGCGCATTAAGTCCTAACTATACTCAGCCTGGATGTATTTCCACGTGTAAGACACAAACTGATGGTGAGTTTCTGCAGGACGTCGAAAGAAGCCCTCGTTCATTTCGATTGGGTGGTTCCGCACTTCTGACAGAAACAATTAGATGCGCATTTTACGGCGTTGCGAGTTGTAGTTTCGGGTAAACAAACGAATGCGCGAGCGCTGCAAAGAAATGCAAGTGTGCAGAAGCAGAAAGTCTCCATCAGTAGAACGTGTTGCAACAAAATGTCTATTAATATTGCAATCAGATGCACGCGTTTCCTTTAAATCAGTGGCGGTGTCAGCGTGAGTGCGTCCGTGTCAGTTGTGTACCTGCGTTATGATGGATCGTGTTACTGTTGTGCAACATTTGGCGGTGTTGCAACAACTGTGTCATATAAACTTGTGTCAGCCTTCCCCTCAAGCCCTTGCAACGCATACTGAGTGTAGCCGTTTTCTGATTACATCTGGGACAAGATCATTTATGCACTGCACTTACAAGAGTTACAAGCATGCATGTGTTGCAGCTGCTACGTGCATTCTGTGCTTAATAATGCAGTCTGTATACATCAGGAACATGCATCTACTTCCAGTAATGTGTGGGAGTGATAGTTTACACACCCTAATAGCAATATGTGATGCATCAGATTGTTCATTGAGGCTGGTGCACTCAGCACATGCCATGCCTGGTGAATGTCTGGTGGCTTTGCACTTTATTTTAAGGCACAGCATAGAGCAAGAGAGAGAGAGTCTACAAACTGACACGGTCACGGTGAGGCCTATATGGGTGTCTCCTTACTCACGGCAGCACATGCTTGATCATGTCTGTGCTGCTGGAGCTCTGCACGCACACAGAAATGCTCAGAGTTAATGGTGTTGTTGAGTAGATGCGTTTCATGAATTTTGCTACTGACTCCTTTCAGTCTGCTGACTCCAGCTCAGTCATGTTCCCTTTTTTACATTGTTCTCAATTGTATCACTTAGAACTGGAACTATTGTCTGTCATTCAGTTGGGATGTGTGAAATGGTTGGTTCACTAAAAAATGAGCATTTAAGATTTTTTGGAAGTGAACTATCTCTTTAGTACCTGCCGTTTTCCAGCTTGTGATAACTTGATCCCATATTTGTCTGTTAATGCTACATCATGTCAGGCTTAGAAACTAGCGTCAGACCAAAACTAGACCGGCACGCCTCGAATTCATCGAATCTGTAATTTCTGCCTGAGAAATGGCTTCATGACATTATAAAAAGGCATTTACAGTACAGTTATAGCTGCATAATGTTATGAGATATGTTGTATAATGGCTGTGGTTATAAATATATTATGGTAGTCAACATTTGTAATGGATCAAAACAGCTTTTCAAAATTATCCCAAGACATAAATGGGTGTTGTTCGATAGTTTCAGGACAACTTTGATGAAAGATTTTGATCTTCAAATATCAAGTACGATTGTGTTATGCTGGCGGCTGAACAACATATTGTCTCAGCATCGATATCGCAATGTGTCAATTTGCAATAATCACATCGCAGGATGTGCAATGTCAAGTTGGGATTATAGTTGATCAGCATCACAGTTCAGAACTAGTGATTTGTGGAGTCATAACAAATTTGAACTCTAAAATAGAGTGAAAGATTTTCATTTTAATGTGTTTTTAAGACCCGTAGTCAAGCAAACTTAAACCAAGAGGTTATAAATGTACATACACCAAAGTTAATTGTGTTTAATTACTTATACAATGAGGACTCTACACTACACAACGTTATTTTATCTATTATTATTATATTTCTTTACCTCAATACTGGTAGATTCCACTGAAAACCTTAAACTTTTTGTACAATTGTATATGTTTATTGTAATTTGTGCAGATACTCCTCTACAAAATCATCCCAATCAATGTAAAAATATTAATTCATTCCAAATAGTTATATAAGATCTTGTCAAATTATATTCATATTGCTATATATTGCACACAAACTAAATAGTTTTTGTCTAATACCTGCAGCCCTATTGTAAAATAAAATGCAAAATATCATATAAGTGCGATCATAGATTACGTCTTCACCACAGTTTCTGTTCATCTTTGACCCAGTACAACAGTAACTAATATATGAAATGTAAAATAAGTTTTGGGTTGCATATAAAGTTCAAACATTTTTACATCCAATCACAGTAATGACATTAAAGTCTGCATAAATTCAATATTTATTCATTCATTCATTCATTTTCTTTTCGACTTACTCCCTTCATTAATCAGGGGTCGGCACAGCAGAATGAACCGACAACTTTTCCAGCATATGTTTTACGCAGCGGATGGTCTTCTAGCTGTAACCCATCACTGGGAAACATCCAGTGACCGTTTTGCTGTGAGGCTATAGTGCTACCCAATGCATCTCCACGCTGCCAAAAATCAATATTTATAATCTTTATTTTGCTATAGCTAAAAAAATGGTGGTCTTAAGGTGAACAATTTATCTATGCAAGTTGATCCACTGCCAAAATAAAAAGTCAGTTTGACATTTGGGTGAAACATACTAAGCTATGCCTGCCCCTCCAACCTGTTAGATCAGTGGAGAAGCACAAAGATAAGCCCTGCTCCCTACTTAATATTCTATTTCAATTGCAATTATGTCATCATACTGAATTAAGTCAACTTCTGGTTCATGCTGACTTTAATAACACTTAATTCAGATTTAAATATATCCCGAAGTTCTGATGGAGACTGATGTAGAAATAAAATTTTGAGCCTTTTTAGTGTAAGTACAAATGCACTTGTTACCTAAAAAAGACCTTAAAATACTACAACATTAGAAACCAACAGTTTGTCCCTAAACTGTGTAAATTATTGCAAAGTGTGCTGTTAAATTCTATCCCAATAGTGATCTGAGGGTAAAAGTAATAAAATGTCAACTTTAAATATTCATAAATGCGGTATTATTATTAATAACAAGTTATTAATACAAATATTCACACAAAAATAATATTCAGAAAAAAACAATCCAGTTTCATTTCAAATATTTCTGAAAAATGTAAACATTTTTCTATATTTTAATAAAGTGGGAATAAAATTGTAAACAAATCGAAGCAACGTACATGTTAGAATGAAACAGTATGAAGTCATCATACTTGGGTAAAGTTTTTCAAAGACCAAAATAATATGTTGTTTTCCCAGTTGTTCAAATAGCACAAACTGACAAAACGAGGATCACTTTCCTCATAACTTTACTCACACTAAAGTTGTTTTTTCAATTTAATGAATTTATTTCTTATGTTGAACAAATAAAGGTATTCAGTAGGGATGTAAGGGTATCAGAATGTCACGGTACGGTATTTATTGAAGCATTTACAGGAAAAACAAAACTTATGAAAATACTCCAAAAAAGTGCCAAAAGTGTCAATGACATACAAATTAGCCATCTATCTGTAAGCTTTGAAACAGGAACTTCAATTTTAATAACAAAAAATATTAAACCATGTAAAAAAAATAAAGTTTCAATTTAGTATTGTTGAAAACTCATCACATTCAACATTTAATCATTCACTCACTCACTTAGATAGAGATGGGTTTTAAGGAAAATTATCATATAACTATAATCTGGTAAAAGCTGGTATCTCTGGGTATTTACAATGTCCCCTGCAACAGAAAAAAACCCTCTCATTTGGGACTGAGGTTTCTGGGACAGAGATATGACTTGGCCCAGGTTGACAGCAGTGGGTAACGTTGTGCATTGTCTTTCCCCCACTTGAGAGGACAAACCATGAGTGAGAAAGAGGTCTCTTTGCGGTACAAGTCAATGTCTGCATCAATCTGAACAGTGAGCTGTGTTTCTGCAGTCCCCATGACTGTTATTAGTCGTATTCCCCAACTTGCAGGCACGTGCACACATAGGGCTCAACCTGTGCAGTGCACATGCCTTTTTTAGACTTGGATAGAAAATACCCTTTCAAAATGATCAAAAGTGCCCCCGCGACACGACACACCCTCCGTCCCGCCCTTCAGTAGGCGCGCGACAACACCGCTCTTGAGTGTGCGCGCTCAACCCCCCCTCCCCGCTTTACAGTACGCGCGCGACAACACAGCTGATCAGAACGCGCGCGACAACACAGCTGATCAGAACGCGCGCGACAACACAGCTGATCAGAACGCGCGCGACAACACAGCTGATCAGAACGCGCGCGACAACACAGCTGATCAGAACGCGCGCGACAACACAGCTGATCAGAACGCGCGCGACAACACAGCTGATCAGAACGCGCGCGACAACACAGCTGATCAGAATGCGCTATTCAGTACGCGTGTGGCGACAACACCCGCTTTAAGTTCGATCATTTCCAGCTCTTTTTCATCCCCGCTTCTAGCAGCACACTCCATTTCCGCATTACTGGATCTGTAGCGACAACAGACCGCAAAGGATGATGGCCACGCCTGGGCTGATGGGAATTGTAGTTTCCGCTACCTCCCGTTCGCTTCATTCGCCTGAGCAAATTTTCTCATAAGACCTATAGTTTTACCGAGTCATGCGACTACGGTAATATCGAAAAAAATTAATATTGCGGTATGACGGTATTTACAATACCGTTACATCCCTTGTTATTCAGACATCTATAATAGGGACAAAAAGCTATGCAAGTCAATGACTGTTGCTTCATTCCAACATTCTTCAGTGCATCTTCCTTCGTGTAGTGCAAATTCCTTCGTGTTTAACATAAGAAAGAAATAAGGAGGATGAGTAAATAACTGATGACTGAATTTTCATTTTTGGGTCGACTATCCCTTTAAGATGCTTTTGTTAATCTGATAACAAGTGGACAAATCTAAAAACATGTTTGAATGGGGTCTGAAACATGTTGAGCCTGTTCACTTTCAACCACTTCCAGATTGCTTTCATAGGTTGAACCCTCCTCATGTGGTGGACTGTGTTTAAACAGCGCCAAAGACCACCTACTCTTTGCCTACTGACCTAATTCAACC